AATGTCAATCTCCTACATTAGTGTTTTATGTAAATAGGATTTATTTGTAAATGTGGGGGAAATTATGTCCATCCTTATTCAGTCACAAAATTTTAAAAATCACTATTTCTTTCTCTCTTTTAAAGAGGACAGCTGCCCCATGATCTCTTTCTTATTTTCTCTTTCTGTTCTTTTTGTTCTTCCTTTTCTCTATTTTTTCATGCTTTTTCTTTCTAATTTTCTTTTTCTGGTTTGAACCTATAAACCAGAACTTAGCATGCAAGCAGCTTTGTGTCACCATTAGTAAATCTCTTGTTTCCTTTAACTTTGCTTATCCAATGTGTGATGGGAGGTTAAAATTTACTCAGAATGCTGATTAAGCTTGTCAGCAGTATACTTAGAGCTCTTAGGATGAAGCATATGAAATTGCTGATTCTTTAATACATGAAATAACAGTCCAATGTTGGCAGTTTTATATGGTTCAATCTAATACTTGAACATGACCTTTGCATCCATTGCATGATTGGCATTTGATTTATTGATACTGAGCATAAATATCTCTGAATTAAGTCAGTCTACACTCATTTTCTTGCTTGAGTTGATTTTGTTTTTTTCCAAAAATGAATACAAGTGATATAAAAAATCCTACCGTATAATTTGTTGTTGCCAGGGTCCTAGAACCTTCTACCATGTGTCTCCTTTATAAGCAAGTTGCAGTGTAGTTGGGGCTTCCCTGATACCTTCCCTGATACCAGCTCAGCTGGTAAAGAATCCACCTGCAATGCAGGAGACCCCACTTCGATTCCTGGGTCAGGAAGATCCCCTGGAGGAAGGCATGGTAACCCACTCCAGTATTCTTGCCTGGAGAATCCCCATGGACAGAGGAGCCTGGCGGGCTACGGCCCACGGGGTTGGAGAGTGGAACACAAGTGAGAGGCTAAGCACAGCACAGCATAGCCCAGCAATGTCGTTAACTTACAAAAACACTGTGGAAGGAAAACAAGCCTTTTGAGATGATACATGTTTAAATAATTTTTATTATAGTCTGAATTTGTATAATTTTTACCTTTGGTGTGCTCTTCTAAAAAATTGATAACGTCTTTTTAAGTTGCCAGCTGTACCCTCAAATTCTAGAAAATCAGCAATTTGTCCTTTTCCCACATTAGACCCTGTACTTTGACTCCTCCCCAGTCTCAGCACACCCAAATCCTGCTTCTCTCCAGAAGCCCAGCTCCATGGGTCTCCCTCCTCTGGCCCCAGCAGAAGTAATCTTAGTTTCTCCTGTTTCTCTTGTATTGTATACGGACATCTTGACAATGTTTTTATTATTTGGATTACTTGTATTACAATCCATGGTAGAGAAGATGCATTTGAGTATAAGATGTATATCTCACTCAAACTTCTGTATCTCTTACAGGGCTGCTTAAGAGTGCCTTACACTTAATGACTATATGGTAAATGAAGGGAAGAATCTCGCCTACACTACTTTAATGTGGAGACAGGCCAGATATGTGGTAGGCAGGAGAGATGGCTATCAGTCAAATTTAGCAGTGCTTAATCTTCAAAATAAAGCAAGAATCATCGAGGTGTGTCAATGAAAAAAATGTACCAGTCTGCATAGGTGGCTTTAAAAATCTATACTTTTTATGTCGTCACACAAAAATTGTACTGCCCACTCCTTTGTACCCGTAATAAAGACTTCTGTTTGTACTATATTTGACCATTGGAAAACAAAAGAAAAATATTTCCACTGAGAGCTTCAGACAGAGGTTCTTAAGTAATTCAAACTCATTCTTATGTGAGCTATGTTTAGAAATACACAGGTAGACATCATTAGGACAGTTCTGTGACTACCAGGCAGTGTATTGTCTCAGTATACCCACAAGATAATATCAAATAATCTAATCAAATAATCACATTATTTGCTCACATGTACTGTAAACAAAACTGTATAACTTTGAAATCAATTTCTTTAGAAATCATGCCTTCTGAATGTGGAAGTAGACTAGTAATTAGGAGTTCATTTCATCTGTACAAGTACAGTATATTTAAGATTAGCCAGAATAAGTATATTTTAGGTTTTCCTTAGTTATCTTTAGCATTGATTCAGCTCAGGCTCTCGTCAGCCAGAATATCCTGATTCTTGTCAAGAAAGCTTTGCTCCTTCCCCAGCATTTTACATTATGACCTTATAAAATGAATTTGTTTTCTTTTGGTCATAAATGATGGAAATGTTTAGTCCCTTATATTTTTCATAGCATTGTATTATAATCAAACTGGGAAGTTTTCAAACAATTTAAAATAACTTGCCCTTCAAATTTCAAGTATCATTATTTTATGTACCACCAAACAGGTGGGTGTATTGTGTCCAAGAGGACTATGAGGGAGGGATTTGATGGGGTAACAGAAGTATGTGACATGTGATGAAGTGCATACTCCTGTAGTCTGCTTCATAATGTTCTGATACTCTGATATTCATTGATATATTTCATACAGTAAATTCTATTTCTTAGGCTGTATTCTAAAATATTTGAGTAAAATGTCTAAATGTCTAATGTCTCAAGTTTTCGAGAAGTATTCATCATATACTTCAGTAATATATGTGTACTGTGAAAAGGGGAGATATGGTATTTTACTGTATAATCCAAGGCAAATACAATTTTTATATTTCTTACACCTGTGTCCTCACCCCTCTTGTGTTCTCTGGAAACAGTAGCTGCCCTTTCATCTGTCTTTATCACTCTTATTTCACTGTGGTACTGTTTGGGTGTTCACTACTACTGAAAATGAATGGTTATATGTTGTGCAGAAGCAGGAATATGAACGCCTCTAGCCACTGGTTCTCTTTATTTTCACTGTAAAATAAACCAATCTAATAGTTGATAGCCTAGCAGAAACCAGCCTAATTAGAAGTTTAAATATGGCTTTTTAAAATCAAATGTATTGTAGGATGTGATTTGCTTGAGGCAGGACATCTTCCTTAGCATGGACATACTAAAACAAAATGTCTCATTTTTTTGGGTGAAAATAGAGTAAGTGACATATACCCTCTGTTGCTTTCAGTAATGGGTTAGTTATTGAATAAAGCATATGCTGTTTATTATGCATCTGCCAGTTAAGGCAGATGTAAGAGCAGAATTTGATTAGGGGATCAATTTACTTGCTAAGGTATTTGTAAGGGAGCATCAGAAGTGACAGCAGTAATTCCTAAAATTCAACAGGAAAACAGTATGAGCATCATATCCCTAGCTTCTTATGTCTGACAAAGTAGACACATGGTAAGTATTTATAAAACAAATGAGTGGGTGTTAGTGAGTGAAAAAAAAGGAATATAGGAGCAAATGCCTATTGATTTTTCTCATCTGTTTAAAAAATCACAATAAAATAAATAGTGATTTATTTCAGTTCAGCTCAGTCGTGTCCAACTCTTTGCAGCCTCATGAACTGCAGCACACCAGGCTTCCCTGTCCATCACCAGCTCTCGGAGCTTGCTCAGACTCATGTCCATCGAGTCGGTGATGCCATCTAACCATTTCATCCTCTGTCGTCTCCTTCTCCTCCTGACTTCAGTCTTTCCCAGCATCAGGGTCTTTTCCAAGGAGTCAGTTTTTCACATCAGGTGGCCAAAATTTTGGAGTTTCAGTTTCAGCATCAGTCCTTCCAATGAATATTCAAGACTGATTTCCTTGAGGATTGACTGGTTTGATCTCCTTGCGTTTATTTAGATGATTTAAATAACCTTTTTTCTTTTGAAACACCTTAAAGTCCATTTAAGTTAAAAGGATCACTGTATGAAGGTTAATTGTATTGCAGGTTATTCTCCTACCCTATTTAAAAAATATGGCTTTTTGAAATTAAGTGTATTATAAATTCAGGTCTTTCATTCATGAAGAAAAATTTAATGTTCCTACTTCTGTTTCCTGTCCACTTCTGTATTCATCCTCCAATCTCAGGAAGACATGTTAACTTTTTTCTGATTATCTGATTTTGTCCATTATATAGGGACAGCATGGGACCTGACAGATTTACCTGGTCAGATTCTCTTATAGCAGAGATACAAGGCCTGGGGAATTTTTCATAACTGTGTCCATAACACACATGAAATATGTTAATATTGAAGATAACACACATATAATAATAGAATATAAAATAAAGTTTACTGGATACAAGCCACTGTAGAATCTTAATTTGAGGTTCAGTTATTGTCTTTTTATACTTGGAGCTGACTATTAAATGATTCGTAGTTTCCTTCCCCCAGTCCTCTTGTGCTATAAGAGTACCATGCTGGTGCTAATTTTACTCTGATCAGTTTCATTCTCTCTGTGATATGTTAGAAAAAATAAGCTATTTACATAACGTTAAACTGTTGAGCAAAACTAAAGCCTGCATAAACCAGCCTAAGCAGCAGCCTCAGCCCAGGTGGCCTGATATTTAGTAGTAATCTTAATTTGGAATAAATCCATTGTAAAAGTTATGTCAAGATTAATGAAGTTTTGGGGGGGTATAGTACAATAAAGGAGTAAAGATCTTAAAGCAGCCTTTCAAATTAAATACATTGATATTAATTTCAGAAAGCCAGATGCAAAAGTATATAATGTGAATGAGATAAACTATGTGCATATACATGCATATTGCAGTCATAGAATTGAAAATAATGAAAAACATTAAAACACTTGTTTAGCTTTGGGCAGTAGAATTACAGGCAATTTTTCTTTTTTATACTTCTGTTTTTTTCTGTTGTGAACGTGCATGACTTTTATAATTAGAAAAATTGCATTTTATGATAATGTATTTAAAATGTAGTTTTGTCTTAATCTTCTAGATGGAAATAACTGATGTGCTTTAAAATTTTTTGGCTATATAAATGGCAATTTGTTATGGTGGTTTGCTTTTTTTAAAATAATGCCTCAACATTTTTACATCTTTAAATAATATAAGCTTTTTATATTACTCTGCTTGGTATCAAAGAAACCTGGGGAAAAAGAAATTTAAAATAGTTAATTCATTTCTTTGATTCTTAGATGCCAGAAATCCAGAAAAGTTCAGTTCACATCAAGAACCCATCAAGAGTAGAAGAAATTATCTGTGGTCTTATCAAAGGAGGAGCTGCTAAACTTCAGGTGAATCATTATCAAGAAGCCTTTAGCATTAAATCTCTATTTTTCATGTTCAAGCAGACTCATTCATTTTATGTCTTGCTACAATCTGAATAAAGAAAGCTTAGATAGAAAGCTTTGCCTGTCCTTTTGGAATGTAAAATCTAAGAGATGTATCTGGAATTGGTCTAAAATATGCAGAATACCCCACTGGAAACAAACAAAAGTTAATAACCTTGAAATAATTTTAGCTTTTCTTTAATATTAAGTGCTCAGCTAACTAGTGCTATGCATTAAGTATTAAACCATCTTAAGTAAATTGATTAACAATATGATTAATAACCTTTAAATTGTGGACAGTTTCAAGGTGTTCTTTTAATATAATAAATCATAGTAGTCAAAGTAATGTGTAACTATTAGGCGATAGCTAATTTTTCTAATTCTTTTTTTAAAGGAATGTTTTACATGTAAGTTAAATAATCTGGATAGTCACTAAAAACTTATTCCCTTTTTTAAACATTTCTGAAAAAAATATTTAGCCCAGTCTCCTAAGTTTCAAGAGCTGGTAAACTATTGCTGTGTATCATTCATTCATTCATTGTTTAGTTTATTTAAATAGCCAAGTCAAGAATGTACAGTTTCAATAACTAAAAGCATGGCATAGTTTATTTCCACTGCATTTTTGTACATTGACCAAGTAGGTTGAAATTGTGCAATGTTTTATTGCTATCAGAAATAGTAACCATATTACCTGCAGTTTCAAATTCCTATACTGATTAGTCAGATTTTATTTGGTGACTGTGCTGGGGTACTTAAGGTTCACCCTGTAGTTAAGGAAATTCTCAAGACTTGACATATGAACTCCTTTAGAAAACTCAGTGGAGACAGAATAACCTCCAGTGGAGGGCCGGGACAGGACACTCTAGAGGAGTCTCATTCCTCTAGAAAATGTGCATTAAGTGTCTGGCCTTGGTAGCTGTGATTTCATAATGCCTTTTCCCCTTTTCTTATAGATAATAACAGACTTTGATATGACACTGAGTCGATTTTCCTACAAAGGAAAAAGATGCCCATCATGTCATAGTAAGTGTGGCATTCATAAATAGATTCACAAGAATAATCATTGAGTTCCTTTTTTAACCTATGTTATATGAGATTGCTTGTGTTTTTTTCTTCTTTGTGGACATTGAAAGTGAGAGGGGCCTTCTTTTTTTATTATATTTTGAGGATTTGTTTTCCCCGTGTTACATAAATGGCTATTTTCCTGTACGGTTTTGGTTGCAAGAAGAATGAAGACTTCTGAAATTTTCTCTCCAAATGTGGTCTATTTATTCAGAAAGTATTTAAATGAATTTAAACTTTGAAGTAGCCTAAAGAAATATATTTATCAAATACTTTGTGTTTTCTAGGAATATTACTAAATTTTTGTGTCACTGATAAGTAAAAGAGTGAGTTACTAAATAAATAGCAACTTAAAATGTGTTGCTGGAATAATACACCTTTTTTGTTTTCCAAACTTGGCAGTGAATTTTTAAAATAATACTCCTCAACCTGACAACCAGGGATATTAGCCCTCTCTTTACTGTTGGAACATGTGAAATTTGAGAAATCATTGATAAATTTATTTTAAAAACCACTAAAAATTACACCCTTTGGCCCAATAACTTTTCTCTGGAAAATTTCTAATTTAGTAATCCCACATGTTGGGAAAAAGCTTCAGATCTAAGGTTTAGATTTTAAGATCATTAGATTTTCTAGGAATGCCATGTGGATTATAACACTTAAGACCAGAAGTTGTAATGATCATGCTTCTTGACCTGGCATTTAAGTTAACCATAGTAAGTTATTTATATTACTGGTAGCATCAATCAGAATATTTCTTTTCTTTTTTTATCATTTAATTAAAGTACAGTTGATTTACAGTGTTATGTTAATTTCTTCTCCACAGCAAAGTACTCAGTTATACACATGTTCTTTTTAGTATTATTTTCCATTGTGGTTTATCCCTGGATATTGCATATAGTTCAGAGTATTTTTTTAATGCCTAGTTTGCTTTCTTTCTTTAGATGTCATTGACAACTGTAAGCTAATCACAGATGAATGTCGAGAAAAGGTAAAGACTAACTATAATCCATGGTTACTCAAAGACGTCATTATCCTTTTTGCTGAGAATTTTTTCAGGTTCATTCACACAAACAAGAATAGATGCAAAAGTTCTTATAGCCATATCTGGCACAGAGTAAACACTCAATAGATCTTAGGCTTATTGTATGGATTATGTACTCCCAACTTATTTTACCAAAAAAAGTTAATAATGACTTTTTAATAATAAAACTTTCATGAGAAACTTTTAAATTGATTACCAAAATAGTCTCATGCCTTACATTAACTGGGGAATTAAAACAAAAATATTGTGATGGACATTCCCTGGTGGTCCAATGATTAGGATTCTGTGCTTCCAATGGAAGGGTCACAGGTTTAGTCCCTGGTTGGGGAACTAAGATCCACAAGCCTTGCAAACAAAAACAGAAAAAAGTACTGTGGTTTTATGTATTTTGTTCCCTTAAATTGATAGGAAACTGCCTCAGTTCTCTGTTTTACTTGAGTAGGTATCTACCTATGTCTATTTTAACAAAAAAGACTCCAAATATGAATCAAATTTAATACCTTCATAGGAGAACAAAAGATTTTTTTTGTAGTGATAGTTTGATTATTGGTTTCACTGAATTACTGACCTGAAAGTACTTAAAAAAAGAAAGGTAACTTCTTGTAGATACATTTAGTTACATGTACACTAAGATCAACAAAGATCACTTCAATGGATATATGCATTGGCTAGGCATGACCTTCACCATATAAAGCAGTGTGAGGAAAAGACTTGTTTACATTATTTTGTTTTCTCTTAGACTGAGCAGCTTAATGACAACTCTGTAATCTTAATGATTAAATTATTCACTAATTTCTAGTTACTACAACTAAAGGAAAAATACTATGCTATTGAAGTTGATCCTGTTCTTACTATAGAAGAGAAGTACCCCTATATAGTAGAATGGTAAGTGTGCATTGGGTGATGGGAAGGTTAAAAATATAAAATAACATTACAGTTACAACTAATGGTTTATTTTTCCTCTGTACTGTACATAAATAGATTCATAAATTAGCCAGTGCATTAGAGCAGTGATTAAATATGACAGCATGAACTCTGATTCTCTAATCACTGCAGCAATCTAGAATTTGTTTTGTTAAGATGAAGATCAGTGGGAATAAATTTAAAATCATACCCTCAAGCCTTAAATTAAAAACATTTTTTTAAAGTGTATGTGGCTGAATATGCAAAGAAAAAGAATTAGGGTTTAAGTTAACTCTGAACTCAGTTGGAGCCAGCAGGTGACATAGTTACTGAGAAGTGTACCTCTGATGTTGGTCGTATTAATTGAAATTGCAGCATTCCAAGCAAATCACAGCGAAAGCATTGTGTTCAGTCCGGGGAGAATGCTATTAAAAGAAATGTTGACAAACTTAGTCTGTGTCATAGGAGTCCACTAAGATAATCAGAGGAATTAAAGCCATCCCATTTGAGGAAGATTTCAAGGAATAGAGATGATGCTTTGATTTGAGAGGCAACAACTTATGGTTTTGGAGTTTTAAGAGAATAGGAATGATGTTACTGGTCTTCATAATCCCATTACCTAACCTTGCACACTTAATCAGTATCTATGGTATGAAGCACTGAAAAGAGATTATTTACTTTACTTGCCTGTGCACAAAAAGAACTGAATCTAGACTTGGAAGGCTTATACCAACTTATTTCAACATGATGAAAGAAAGGACTATTCAGCAATTAGACTTTTCTAGCAATGGTATAAGCTTATACCATTGGGAGAACGAGCTTACTAAAAAGATGGGAGCTGATGCAGAGAAGAGGGTCACCTAGGAATATTATAGCTGGATTTTTAGATATCAGCTAGAGAGGTTCTGAAGGCTTATTATACTGAGATGCTGTGATTATAGGTGGTTTTATGTAATTACAGAGCACCTATATATAAAACTTTCCATAGCAAGAATTTTCTCTTTCTCACTAGGCAATTTAGGCTACTCATGAAAATTTAGATCACAAACAGGTGGGAAAAAATGGCTTTGCTGTTCATTCTTACTGCCATCAGAGAAGTGATTATGCCTCCCTAGCTTCAATTCAGTTCTTCTCTGTAGACTAAAGAAAGATTTACAACTAGTATCCTTTCATTATCTAATTAACATATTAAAACTAAGCCAGAGTTTGAGAACTGGGACATATGATAAGAACATGCATATTACATTTTGAGACACATGGGGTATACATTCATTAGTGATGAACTTAAATCTCTAAAATTTAAATTTAAAATTACAATGAATGACGTATTTTCTCATGCAGAAGAACATTTTTAGTAAAGGTAGTAGTCTTCAGTTCAGTTCAGTCACTCAGTCGTGTCTGACTCTTTGTGGCCCCATGAACTGCAGCACGCCAGGCCTCCCTGTCCATCAGCAACTCCCGGAGTTTACCCAAACTCTTGTCCATTGAGTCAGAGATGCCATCTAACCATCTCATCCTCTGTTGTCCCCTTCTTCTCCTGCCCTCAACCCTTCCCAGCATCAGGGTCTTTTCAAATGAGTCAACTCTTTGAATCAGGTGGCCAAAGTACTGGAGTTTCAGCTTCAGCATCAGTCCTTCCAATGGACACCCAAGACTGATTTCCTTTAGGATGGACTGGTTGGATCTCCTTGCAGTCCAAGGGACTCTCAAGAGTCTTCTCCAACACCATAGTTCCAAAGCATCAATTCTTTGGTGCTCAGCTTTCCTTATAGTCCAACTCGCACATCCATACATGACTACTGGAAAAACCATAGCCTTGACTAGACAGACCTTTGTTGACAAAGTAATGTCTGTGCTTTTTAATGTGCTGTCTAGGTTGGTCATAACTTTCCTTCCAAGGAGTAAGTGTCTCTTAATTTCATGGCTGCAATCACCATCTGCAGTGATTTTGGAGCCCAAAAAAATAAAGTCAGCCACTGTTTCCACTGTTTCCTCATCTATTTGCCATGAAGTGATGGGACCAGATGCCATGATCTTAGTTTTCTGAATGTTGAGCTTTAAGCCAACTTTTTCACTCTCCTCTTTCACTTTGATCAAGAGGCTCTTTAGTTCTTCACTTTCTGCCATAAGGGTGGTATCATCTGCATATCTGTGGTTATTGATATTTCTCCTGGCAATCTTGATTCCAGCTTGTGCTTCTTCCAGCCCAGTATTTCTCATTATGTACTCTGCATATAAGTTAAATAAGCAGGGTGACAATATACAGCCTTGACATTCTCCTTTTCCTATTTGGAACCAGTCTATTGTTCCATGTCCAGTTCTAACTGTTGCTTCCTGACCTGCATATAGGTTTCTCAAGAGGCAGGTCAGGTGGTCTGGTATTCCCATCTCTTTCAGAATTTTCCAGAGTTTATTGTGATCCACAGTCAAAGGCTTTGGCATAGTCAGTAAAGCAGAAATAGATGTTTTTCTGGAACTCTCTTGCTTTTTCCATGATCCAATAATAGTCTTAATTTGCCTTAATTGATATTCTCCTTTTCTTTGATAATTTGACATTCTCTTTATAATTTCCAGGTATACTAAATCACATAGCTTGCTTGTTGAACAGGCTTTACCGAAAGCCAAACTTAAAGAAATTGTGGAAGAATCTGACATTATGCTCAAGTAAGTTTCTCAGATGTTTTGTTGTTAATTATCTACAGACTTGAACTATTGTCATATATTTATTCACATGTGTTTTTTAATTAAGATAATCTATAACAAAATGTTATATATAAAAACATATCCAAAATATGCCACTTGGTGAGATAAGGAATTTAGAATAACAGATAATTTCAAGACTAACTTAAAAATTTATGAAACCAAGACCATTTTGAAATATTTTAGCAAAATACTTTTGAAAGACATGATTATGAAAGGAAAGTTTGTAAATCAACTTGAGAAGGATTTTAAGCTTATAATTGTTTCTGTTACATGATCTTTTTTCTGAATTCTCAAACTTCCTTGAAAACTACTATTTTCAGGAAGGGTAAATATGTTTTAGCAGATAATAAAAACATTTGTAATCATGAATTATATAAATATTTTTAAGCTAATTTCAGTACTCTTTACCACCTCTTAAATGTTTCAACTCAATAGGCAAATATGATGATGCTGTATTTTTCTTTTTTTGATGATGCTACATTTTAAGGTGATCTGCTTCCAAGGAGGAAAGCATTAAATTGTCAGAAAGAGTGTGAGGACAGCTAGTAAGTATTCCTTTGTAGGCAACTTAATCTATAGTCCATTAAGAGTGAAATGAGTTTTGATTTTAGGATCAAGACATTACCTGTAGCTGCCAGATCTTAGGTAAGAGAGATGCCAGATGTAAAGAGAATACAGCTGAGTTCCTGCCACTCTGCTTTTCCTATAATAGGGAATAGATGAACAAGATGACAAGCAGGAGGTCTTCTAGCTCACTGTTTGTGGGTTTTTCAAGGTGTGGCTCATCTACTTGCTGTTAAATGGTATACATAGTGAACTGTAGATTTATGTCCATATTCCAAGTAAGTCTAAAATCATCTAATATGTACTTAGAATTTATTGAAAGTATGATAAAAAGTTAACCAGACTGAAAAACTTGTATTAGTATCATCATAGACATCAATAACAGCCCTCTTGGGTAGTATTTTGAAATGAGAATATAAATAAGCCATAGAACCAAGTAGAACTATTTCACTTTTTTAACATCTAGGTGAAAAGGAGATATATCTTGCTCTTTAACACTCAATTCTCACCTCCATCTTACAGGGAAGGATATGAGAATTTCTTTGATAAGCTGCAACAATACGGTATTCCTGTGTTCATATTTTCGGCTGGTATCGGTGATGTGCTGGAGGAGGTTATCCGTCAAGCTGGTGTATATTACCCAAATGTCAAAGTAGTGTCCAACTTCATGGATTTTGATGACAATGTAAGAATATCAAATCATTCTTCATAATTTTAATATCAGAAAATATTTTAATCATATAAATACATTTTAATTTACTCTTTAGTGTATTATATATTCGTTAAATTAGGCCAAGTTGGTGGGCCTTCTATGGGACTTATCTCTCCATGGGTATGTCTGTGTCCATGTTTTAAAAGTAATATACCCTTTTTAAACTTTGTTCCTGAAGCTGCAATCTAATAAGTAGTAAAACTTCTTTAAATTTAATGCAGCAATTCTGAACATTTAAGTATCTATAGATAAGAGAAAAAGTGAATTAGAAGTGACGTTATTGAATGAGTTCTAAGAAAGACAATATATTATGATAAACCTATAATGAAACCGTTTGGGTAGGAAACAAATGAAAAGTAAAAACTGGGTTTTCGGCACATTGTGTTTAACATTTAAAGTGGTCCCTAGAAAGTCATTAACTTCTCAGAGCCCTTCTTACCTATCATGAATGTGAAAATACAAAAAGTAGAACTTGTAGAACCTATTCTTTCAAAGGATTTATATTTTAAACAGGGGCTGCTCAAAGGATTTAAAGGAGAACTAATTCATGTGTTTAACAAACATGATGGTTCCTTGAAGAATACAGAATATTTCAATCAACTAAAAAACAATAGCAACATAATTCTCCTGGGAGATTCCCAAGGGGACTTAAAAATGGCAGATGGAGTAGCCAATGTGGAACACATCCTGAAAATTGGGTATCTCAATGATAGAGTAAGTATACAGATCTGTCATTTAATTTTAAGAAAAAAAAATTAGGATGAAACTTGTAGAAAATTGTTACCACAGGTACCTGAGAAAGTAGTTATTTTAAAGACATGTCAGTTGCTCTTTATCCTTTCACTTTGATGATGATTAAAGGACTTGACATGCACATATGCATGCTGTAGGTTTTGGTGGGGAGGGAGAGTATACCTTCTCAGTGAGGCATCTCTGGCCTTTCCCCACTGGAAGCTGGTATCATTCCCTAATCAGAAGAATCAAAAATGTCTCTAGATATTGCCAAATATTCCTTGGGCACTCTCTTCCCTAGTTGAGAACTATTGGGCTAGAGAGAAATCATTTTGGAAGAAAAACCACTATATGGAAACTTTCTATGTCAATGAATTTTAAAAATTTTTTAAGTATTTCTTCATATCAAAGCTTTTACGAAAACAAGTTACTACATTTTACCCAAAAGATTTGATGTAATAGTGAGATTTATACTGAGATTATTTACTTCTCCTCCCTGCATATTAATTTTTGTGATTTTTTTTTTTATTGATTAGGTGGATGAGCTTTTAGAAAAGTACATGGACTCTTATGATATTGTTCTAGTAAAAGATGAGTCACTGGATGTAGCCAATTCTATCTTACAGAAGATTCTATAAACAGCCATTCTTCAAGAAGACCTCTCACCTGTGGGTGCAATTGATGAAAGAGCTGCTCATCTGTTCATCTGGCTAAAAGACTTTTTTTATTTATAATATATTCTTGCTCTTGAAGTTTTTCCTCTGTATTACTCAAGTATTTTCAGATTTGTTGAATCCATCAACTGGAAGTTCCTATTTCTCCACCTCTCTCAACACACTCCTCACTATATATTTTTTAACAAATTTTTAAAAATTCTTAGAGCTAAAATTGGAAAAATAACCCCCTACATTTCGAGAGTGACTTTTGTAGCTTAATGTTATTATGACATTTTCAAGGAATCTTTTTACATTGGGAAAGTTTATAGAAGATTTAAAAGTTTTATGAAATGAAGAAATAATGTGCATGATTTTAAGTGTTGTCATTTTTATAATTTGGGTGAATTACGCTGATGGTATTAATCATCTCCTAAAACTTACATTTAGTTCTTTTGTTTGGTGAAAATCAGTATTTACCAAAAAATATTGGCACTTGATGTTTGAAAAATATCCATTGGTATCGACATGTCACTAATCATTACAGAATGTTCTGTATCAAAGCACTGATGATAAACATGAAATGAAAAGCCTTTGTAGTTCTGGCAAGACTATTATTATTCATTCGCAAAGCCTGCCATGATTTTCTTGCATGTATGTGTGATGTATGAATCCCAATGTCTTTGTCATAGTGCCTACTTAGGTTATTTTCAGATTTATACACTATAGGAATAAAAAAGATTTTTCCATAGAAAATTTAATTTGCCCTTCAGAAAATAGTAGGGCCTGGGAAAATTGTTTTCCTCCTGTGAAAATATTAGTAAAAGAGGTACTTTATTGTACATCTAAGCGTTTCAGAAACAGCCATAGGCAGAAGACAAAATGTTGCTGGGTCTCATGGTGACTAAAATAGAGTACTTCAGCATTAGGAACAAGTATGCCTCTCTGCAGCCTGACTTCCCATTCCAAATTTTGGCGGCCCTATAATTGGTTTACACAAGGCTAAGTCTTGCTGTTGTGATAAATTTGATCCTGACTCTAGCCCTTGAACTGAAGTCTGTGAGCAACTAGTTGGTGTTCTTAGCATCTGAGCCATGATACAGACAAAGCATGTCCAGCTGGTTCTGATACCCAGTATGGGCAGTAATGTCTAGTGCAGTCATATGTGGTAGAGAGGCAAGGTCTTGTGATGCAAACCTTTTTCCTGCATCCCATCGGTACTCTCCATCACTGCTTCTCTGTTTTTTATAATAAACAAAGCACACAGTGGCAGAAAGTAGACTGTCCCCACTTAGGTATTTCCAGAATGGAACTCAAAACCAAGCTTCTTGCTTTAAAGCAGATAGCATGGCATGTGCGTGCATGCTAAGTCTCTTCAATCTTGTCCTACTCTTTGACTCCATGGACCGTAGCCCACCAGGCTCCTTTGTCCATGAGATTCTCCAGGCAAGAATACTGGAGTGGGTTACCATGCCCTCCTCCAGGGGATCTTCCCCGCCCAGGGATCTAATCCCAGTCTCTTGTGTCTCCTGCATTGGCAGGCAGGTTCTTTACCACTAGCGCCACCTGGGAAGCCCGTGGCATGGAGGCAGGATGGGGTGTCAATTACCTGGAGGACTTTTCCACACAGAAAAAATTGGGACTCCCTTATCAAATGATAGCTCTTTACTCCTGTGTTTGCTATTAGAGCTTGCCATATTGGCTATTTTCCAAAGGAGTTTATAATGTGCGTCCACACACAAGCACAATGTGTGGTGTAAGTGTAAATACTAAAGTGCTGACCTGCTTTCTCGTCACTGCTCAGTCAGTCACCTCCCTTTAAAATAAAAGCCATGAGAACGGTCTCTACGGCCTCTTGGGGCCACTGCCAGTTTAGACATGTCGAGACTTCCTGTGGGATTAAATGTGTAGGGTGAGAGAATAGGGTGCTCCCAAGTGTCTGGTTTGAGCAAATGGGTCCAAGAGAATGAGGGAGGAGCTCAGGCTTGGATGGAAGGTGCTGGGAAGGGCGTGGGAGCACACACTCTGATTTGGGCCCACTGAGTTTGGGATGCCTGTGAAATGTACAGAGGATACCGTAAGGGGACTAGAGCTCGAGAAGAAAATTTGAATAGTATAAATCTTGTCTGCATTTAAATGATATTTAAGTAGGGCCACTATAAGCTGCAAGGAACTCCCCAAACTTAATTCCAACACTAAGGGTGACCACACAGTATCAAACACTATTTTAATAATATCCACAAATAGGAGTAAATAATTGCAAGTAGTAGTCTTATTTTATAAAAAGACTTCAGATCTCCAAGAGATCCAAGGGAGGAAGGCTTCAAAGAAAGCCACTCTGTTCCTAGAAACCTGGTATTAAAGTGCTTACATATAATTTTGCAGTCAGGCCAGCTTCCCTGACAAAATGACATATGTTCCCTTAGCAACGGAAAGAATGGAAGTGCCAGGCAGCACTCAATAAGCTAGATTTAGAAAGCTAAATACTGCGTGGTATCATTTATATATGTAGATACAAAAAAAACAGTTGAAGTCAGAGGGGAAGAAAAGGTGATTACCAGGGCCTAGGGGGTGGGGGAAATAAAAGGATACAAACTTTCATCTGTAAGATAAATAAGGTCTGTGAATCCAATGTATATCATGGTGACTACAGTTGATAGCACTATCATATAGTTGAAATTTGGTAACAGTAGAAGTTAAATGTTCTCTAAAAAAAAATGTGATGTACATGTTAATTTAAGTTGATGGGAATCCTTTCACAATGTATATTTATGTCAAATCATCACACACCCTTGAAATGTTTTAAACAGTTTTTTAAATTACACCTCAATAAAGCTAAAAAGCAAAAGCCAATAAGACAAAGACCCAAGAAGAGCCAGCATTTCAGTCTGAATCTAAAGGCCAGAAAAGACGAGTGTTTCAGGTCAGCAGTCAGGCAGGCAGCTTAAATACAAAAACAAATACCAGCTAAAGTTTCCTTCCATTCTTGAAGCTCTAAGGCTCACAGTCCTTAACTTCCCCAGAGAAACTTATTTTTTATTCAGCCAACCTGCCACTGTAGAAAACAGCCAGTGAAGAAATTCAAACGGGACCAGCTAGAGATCTAAGGTGGAGAAGAAGCACAAGATACTCGTCTCCATGAACATATGTGAGTATAAAGACGTCACAAACCAAATGCATTCCAAAGGGCAATTCAGTTCAACAGATCATTAACCTATCTAGTGCACTCAAGGAATTCTGCTAAATGAAAAAGCTGCATGACTGTGTGCTCCACAGAATAGGGTTACGGAACATTAGTGACAATGGCAGCGGCAGCCAGGAAGGCCATGGGCACCTCCTTCCCCTCCCAGAAGCATACAGAATCTCTGAAGTTGCTTCTGCAAAGAGTAAGCCGGGACTTCCCTGGTGGTCCAGTAGTTGCAAGTCTACCGTGCAATGCAGGGGACGCAGGTTTGATCCCTAGCCGGGGAACTAAGATCCCACATGCCACAGAGCAACTGAATTGTGTGCCGTAACTAGAGGGGCCACAGGCTGCCACTAACACCTGATGCAGCCAAATATTTTTTTAAAAAAGAGTAAAGCAGAACATTTGCTCTTTAAAAACTATGTAGTTTTTCTCTTTAAATAAGCCAGTTATTTTTCCACTCCAACCCCAACCCTTAACCCATTCTACACCTTCCCCTGCACCCCAAAACACTGATCTCTGAGAACACCAGCCCCTGAGACCCTTGCACTCTGGCTTCAGATTGGCTTCAGCTGATGGGAGCAGGACAGAGAAGATGAGTGTTTCCTCTCTCACCACTCTGCTTGCTGCCAGCCACAGTTCTGGGGGTGGCTGTGTCCCTCCACCCACTCCTACCAGGCAGCCCCGCCAAGGCTCCCCCTGACCCTTCAGTCCCAGCGTTAGAACAGCTTCCTACTGTTGACACCCAACGGTGGTCATGGGTACCTCGGCATGCTTACTGCACCACCCCGCCCCAGCCCCACCACACTCGTGTAGAGAGTCCTTTCATTCGCTTCTCTTCAGAAGTCCCACTTCAGTGTATGTTTCCAGCCTAGAGCCTGACAGATACACCCCCTTTCTACTGTACAGCGATCTTCCACTTCTTTCAACTCAGTCCTGCTGAGTTTTTAACCAAGGGGATTCTGAGGGTGTGGCATATTCTCATGGGGGAAAATGAGTCTTCAAATAAAACACAAAACCTGATAATTCAATATTTTATATATGAAAAATTCATTTTCCAACATTTGTTCCACTGAATGAGTGCACAGCATTTTCAGGAACTATTTCAGGGCTACATCAGTACAAAATAGTTTAAATTAGGCACGCAAAGTCACTTCAAAAGGAAAATCATTAGTTACTTCAGGGTGAGTGCCACCACCACGAGGGGACAGAGGACATAGGCAGCAAGGTGGTCACTGCATAACATGAGGACAGGTCAGCAGGCACAGTGTCCTACGCAGAGAGAGGCCCCCAGGCCTTAGGGCACTTCCCTCTCCGGGACACAGGGGTGACAGAAATACATCACTTTGTTTATGCTCACCTGTTGGGATGACATTTCTGTCTTGGCTACAGTGAGATAACTCGAGTGTGGCTGAGCCATCAGCCCTACTTGTATCTATCTGATCAAAGGATTCAGGGCGGGAAGAGAGGGTGCTATGGGTTAGAGTGATGGGAATAAGAAAGAGTAAAGCAGACAATCTTACATGACAAATGCAGAATCAAATTCTCTACTCATGAGACAACATGCCTTATGTTTGGTCTACTGATTTTCTTTTTAACCTCCAAGTTACCTGGCCAATAGAAGGACCACAACAAGGTGGGATATGATTAACCAGAAAAGTGTGTGTATATGTGTAGGCATGATGGAGACTGGGCATTACCAGGTGTGTGTGTGTGTGTGTGTGTAGGCATGGTGGAGGCTGGGCTAATATTACCACATCTTGTACAGGCTGCTAAGAAGTTTCATGTGTGTGTGTGTGTGTGTGTGGGCATGGTGGAGACTGGGCATTACCACATCTTGTACAGGCTGCTAAGAAGTTTCCTGGGGCTGTCTGGGAATACTGCTGGGGCCTGCCCTCTGTTTTCTAGCCACCTGGAGAACACTTTGAAAACACCAGCAAGTTAAAAACATTTTTAACCCTCTTTAGAGATCCCAGACACATTTTCTTCTGTTCCCTCCAAGATGATTACAACTTCTATGTGATGCTATTTTCCTTTAACAACAAAACCACCTACCCAGAAGACTCACAAAAGAATAGCTGACAATGCAACATTTTCAATATTCTACACCACCCATGCTAAGGCCCCCACACTGATTTTATTTAGTATCACTGGCATCAGCCTAAAATTCTCACCATGTATATCAGCCCACCCCGATGTTATGTCCCAGGTGCTATGTGACCCATCTACTACCTGCTGACCATTTCCTTTCTGAGAGATCCTTGCACCCTCAGTGCACATTCTGCCACAACAGGGGGCTTGGTATCACACAAGTGGCTCGTGTCAGGTTTAGAGTTCATCATGTTTCGTCTCCTGGTCTTTGAGTTTAAATTCCTCAGCTGTGACCTTCCCATCTCCATTTCGGTCCTGGTTGGTGAACATATTCTTCACAATCATCTCAGCATCAAATCCAGGAGCGAGCTTCCCTTTTCCAGATGCCACCTGGGCATGAATGTACTCCGAGAACTGGAAAGAAGGGGGCAGTACGGACCATGAGACAGGGTAGCCACACACCAAGCTGGAGCCTGAACAGGGCGGTCCTGGGACAATGGGGTTGGAATTTGAGTCTAAGCCAGCAAAACAGACAAAATCTTCTGAGCTATACGATCTAGATTTTTTCCCTCTAGCACACATCCTGAGTCGCTTCTGTCGTGTCCAACTCTGTGACCCCATGGACCGTAGCCCACCAGGCTCCTCTGTCCATGGGATTCTCTAGGCAAGAATACTGGAGTGGGTTGCCATGCCCTCCTCCAGGGAATCTTCCTGACCCAGAGGTAGAACCCATCCATATCTCCTGCATCACCTGCACTGCAAGCAGATTCTTTATCTTTGGGCCACTGGGGATGGCTTTTAACCTCTGGATGCAGGTTAAAAACCTCTGACAAAATGACTATAGGAGTGCTTAGGTTCCAGGCAGCCAGTACCTAGCAGTCACTGGAACTATCCTGTTTCCCTAAATCAACACTTAGTTTTCCACCTACAGCTGATCCCCTAACCATCCTTGCCTCTGAAAATTCATTCATTCATACAATAAAAACGTACTGTCTACTGTATGCTGAGCAGCATCCTAGAGCCTAAAGATACATCAATAAACAAACAAAACATCCTGCTCTTGTAATTCTAGCATACATTAGTGGAAAAGATGCACTATTAAAAAGGAACATTTAGAATACTATGCAAACACTAAAAAAGGAACATTTAAAAGGTAAGTAAACTACATATTAAGTTAGAAAGTAAAACGCTCCAGAGAAACAAAAGAGTGGAGCCAAGTCAGGAAGATCAAGAGTCCAGCCAGGGGAGCTGGTTTAAGTATCAATTTGGTGGTCAGGGTAGAAGCACAGTGCTAAAGAGAAGCACGTATGGAGGCTTAAAGGAAGTGAGGGAACAAGCCCAACAGTTACCTAGGGGGAATGTCTGCTGAGCAGAGAACAGCCGGTGCAAAGGCCCCGGGTGGAAACACGCCCAGTGTGTTTACAGCACAGCAAAGGGAGAGTTGATGGAGGGGAGGGGGCAGCGAGCAGGCAGTAGAGGGGCCCTTGTGGGGCCCTCGTGGGCCACCGCAGAGACTTTGAAAATAAAGGGATGTATGCTCAGGCCAACCAACACAGCTGTTCTCTTACTGCTCCGCCAGCCCTTGCTTCACCTACACCCTACTCACAAGAAACCCTGCCCCCGCTGGTGATTGCTGTCCTCTTTATGCCAGAACAGCTCCACCTGCTAGTTTATTAAAGGGAAATATCTGCCCTCATGATGGTCTTAACCTGAGGGCCTGTGAGGGTCCTGTCCTAGCTGCTGGTTTCCTTGGTAACTGCATGAACCAATAGGACATTAATTCCCCTATTAATGGTAGCCTCCTCCTCCCCCAGGTAGTAAAGGTTCCTGCTGTGTCCTATCTGCCATACACCGTGGGGTGTCACTCCAGGACCTTTGCTGCAGACATGGAAGATTCCCTGTTCAATGAGTTGTTGATGTCTCTGTCACCATCTCCAGGCTCTTTCTGCCATCTCCAGGCTGGACAACTACAAGGCTTTGGGGCCTGCGGAATGCTGCCTGACAGGAGGCTTCTGCAGAGTTCTGAGATGAAGCGGGGCTCCAACTCACGTTTTAGAAGGGCCGCTGTGAGGGGCAAGGGTGTGAGCAGAAAAACCTCTGCAGAGGTCCAAGCAGGAGGTGATGGACACTGGACTGAGGTGCTATGGAGCAGAGGTGGTGAGAAGTGGTCAAGTTCTGGGTATATTTTCAAGGAAGAGCTAGAATAATTTCCTGATGGATTTAATCTAGCCTGTGAGAGGAAGAGAGGAGAGATGACTGGGTGCTCTTACCTGAGCAACTGGAAGGGAAGTGCTGTCATCGAATGAAATGGGATAGGCTTTGGGTGAAGCAAGTTTGGGGGGATATTGGGGGTTCAGTGAATGACCATGTCAAGTGGGCAGCTGATACCTTAGTGTGAAGAGGACAGAAGCCTGGCCCGGAGCTGCCCAATCTGGAAGCCATCAGGATGAAGACGATAAAGCCTTAGGATGGGAGGAGGTCACGAAGGGATGACATCAAGGGGAAGGAGAGCAAAGTTCAGGACTTAGCCTGGGGCCTCCACTCTGAAAAGCCCTGGGAGAAGCAGCTACTAGTGAGGCAGAAGGAACCTGGAGAAACTGTGAGGCAGAAGCCAGGAAAAGAAGGCATCTCAAAAAGGAAACAGCTGTGCTAAAGTAGGCTTGAGAACTGACCATTGGGTTCAGTGCCTGAGCAAGAAACCAAGTTCAGTGGTATGGAGGATAAAAACCCAACAGGACTGGGTGTAAAAGAGATTAGGAGGAAAGGAATTGGAGGCAGGACAGACAGACAAGTCTTGAGGCTTCTGCTGTAAAGAAAGCAAAAAATAAAATAAAATAAATGGAAAGATGCATCAATAAGGGAAAACAGCAGCATGTTGTTCAGCTAATGGGAATGGTCCAGAAGTTGGGGAAATGTGGATGATAGAAGAGAGAAGGGGAGAAGGCTGGAGCCATGTCCTTGAACTAGGAGATGGGAACAGGCAGAGGCCTGAAGCTCCCCGGAGCGGCGACAAGACAAAGACTCTCTTGCCCAGCTCCACAAAGAGGGGTCTCATACAGGATAAACAAGATAGGATCTAGATGATCAAGACATCTACAAACCACCGGATGGCTGTACAAACTTGGGCAAGCCATTTACCTTCTCTGTGCACAGCTGTTTTCTTCTGAAAAATAGGGGTGATTACATGGCTGTCATGAGCGCCAAGCAAGATAATATATGTGAAAAACACTTAGCACCATGCAGGCCGCAGTGAGCACCCAGGAACGAAGAACTGAGTCCAGATCTGTGAGCCGTGGAATCAAGCCCCGAACTTCTCGGGGCCTCAGTTTCTTCAAAGAGGAACTGTGAGCTTCGACTTAGAGGACTCAGTGTGTGTCCTCGTGCACCTGATACACGAGCATGCAGTTTACAGATCACAAGCAGCAAGCAGCGGCATCCTCACTCTGAGTGGGTTCACATTCAGGATGGGTGCCCCAGCCCCCGGACTTTCCCTGAGCTCCTTGGGCCCCACTTCTATTCAACAAGGTCAATTACCTCTTCCAGGAGGACTTCTCCATCCCCATCCTTGTCGATCTCTTCAAAGAGGTTGGCTGACACCTCGCCATTCCAGACGAACATGTACCCCTCTGGCAGGCCAGCCACGAGCTCCAGCAGCTCGATGTCAAACACCAGCACCGCACTGCCGGGCACTTCTCCATCTGCCACAGGACAGCGGTGGAGCTGGCGTTAACGACAAGGCAGCGAGCACGCCCCTCTGCCCCCCGCCCCAACACCCAGGCTCCAGCAGCCTCATGGATGGAGGCATCTCTTGTGACAGAGGCATCTCTTGTGACAGCAAAAAAGTTCAGCCTCAGCAAGTGGTTTTTCCAAACTGTAGGCAGTGAGTCTCAAATCAATTTAAAGAATGGTGACCAACGTTAGAATAAAATCAGAGTACATTATACATAGAAAGGATAGATACCACTTTATGAAACTAAGTTTTAATTATATAAATATAAAACTAAATCCATACGTACTATTGTTGTTCAGTCACTAAGTCGTGTCCAACTCTCTGTGACCCCATGGACTGTAGCCCACCAGACTCCTCTATCTGTGGGGTTCTCCAGGCAAGAATACTGGAGTGTGTTGCCATTCCTTTCTCCAGAGGCTCTTCCCAGAGCAGGGATTAAACCCTCAGCTGCTGCATTGGCTGGTGGGTTCTTTATCACTGAGCCACCAGGGAAGCCCATATGTATACAAATACTAGGTATAAATTGTATGCTTATGCATAACACTAACTGGGAGATAAAATGTAATTCTCACTGTGTGTCTTGGTGAAAAAAAGTTTAAAAGCAACTAGCAGAGACTACAATGGTAGAACTTTTGAATAAATTTAACCACAGAACTTTAAGAATAATACATTATGCCTTAAAATCATGAGCCATGATATGATTTGTAAACACAAATTCTAGAACAGAATATATAGTATGGGCCCAAAATAACTTATAAGTATGTGACTATAAATTAATGTAATGTGCATTATTTTAAATTATATATTGTAATTATATGTCATGGGAGTATGGTCTTACAGGATACATTTTTTTTTTAAGTGTTTTTTCTCAGATTGGGGAAAATAGCATAGAGTATATCTTCTCCAATTATTTAAAAATTTTGAAAAAATCAAAGTGCCTATCACTTCTGTAAATTAGCACTTCCCATCTACTCCATCTCCAGACAGCAGAAGTACAAGAACAGAAAAGGAAGGGGTTCCCGCCAACTCCCATGAGGAGGGTCCATTTTGGCCAAAATCATGAATCAAACCATAATAGCTATGAGGGCAACATACCACCAGTATTTCCAGAACTTGACACCAATCTTTTCCACAAGGAAATCTCCTTAGATAGCTTACAGGTTCAGCATTTCACTGTCCCAGGAAACAGTTTCCAAAGGAAGCACCTAGCTCACCTGGGAAGTCCTTTCGGTGACATTTCCCACACGTGGGTTTGAAAAGTCAAGGGTTTTTTTTTGTTTGCTTTTTTTTGTTCTTCTTTTTCACAGAAACCGCTGCTTAATCCCATTAACATGGCACTCACACCGAATTCATGGGGTTTTGAAACAAAAATACTAAAGATTTGAATAAAAACCACGGATTTTCTGGGTTGGGGTTTTAAATGGAAGAAGCATATTGTGTTAGAACCTCAAAAATCACAAAATACAAACAATGACCATGTCCCAGACGCCTTTTACTACTGTTACAGACTCACCCACGCCAGCCTCGCCGTAGCCCAGGTGGGGTGGAATGATCACAGTTCGCTTCTCTCCAACACACATCTCTCTGAGACCCATATCCATTCCCAACACGACCTGTCCAGATCCTAAAACGATGTTATACGTTTTGCCTAAATTCCACCTGAAAATGAAACAGAAGAATCTCTGGTTAGGCCATCAACCCACTGGTACTTGAGTATGTTTTCCTGAGAACATGTCACTTCTGTGATCTTTCTGCCAAAGATACAGAACCCCTGTGGAATCATAAGGACACAAACCCACACTGAGGGACAGTCTGCAAAACAACCAGCCTGTAATCGTCAAAGGTTTCAAGGTGAAAATCAAGGGACGACTGAGAAACTGTTTGAGAGTTTGGGGCATGCTGCAATGAATCCTCTTGCTATAAAAGACCTCACAGGAACATCTGGCAAAACAAGTGGGATGTGCGTAAATGCCTGCTAAGTCACTAAGTTTCAGTCAGTGTTCTGAAATTTTAGTCAGAAATTTTCATGAAAATTCAGCAAGACCTGCGTCTGAATCCTGGTTCTGCCACTTAATTTGACAGAAATATAATTTTACAGTTTCCTCATCTATAAAACAGAGATAATAACAGCTATCGCACAGGACATTCTAAATAGCATATAATATGCTTGGCACAGAGGAGAGCAAGCATCAAGAGCTCAATAAATGGACAGCCTTGAGAGTGTGACATGCTTGTGCCTATAACACTCTGCAACTCCAGAATAACAGTTAACTTGGGCCATGGTTTTAATGAGCCTTGATGTCCAAAATCCCAAGGGTATCCAAATAAAAGTCACCTCAATCAGTACTGAAAGTAAATCTATTTTCAAATTGATGCATTCCTATCACTTCCTAAAAGCAAACAATGGGAATATTCTTCAAATCCAAAGAAAGAAACACCTCCTGGCTATCTTGGCGCCCCCTTGATATCCATCACCAGCTGGTGACAAGGAAGCTACGGCGCCTTGGCCTCACCTCTCGTTCTCAGTCTTCCTAGCCTCCTGTGGGCGCAGATGCAAAACAGTGTTTGCATCTGTCCTACCTGGGGTGAAAGGGAAACAAAGCCAGTTCCAGTGCACTGGATGCCTTGGCCCCAGGCCCGAGGGAGGGCTCGTCCTCTGCCCTACCCCAACACAACCCCTCCTTTGTCAGCAGCACAGAGGCGCCCTCACACTGCCTCTCTCCAGGGACCCTGGGCAACTTCCCATGGGACTATTGGGTTTCAAAATCTTACAGAATATGCAAGAACTCATTGAGCTATCAAATAACAAGTGTTATTCTTTTCTGAGGCCAGTTTCAACACACATGAAGAGAACCCTCTAAGCAAGCAACTTGTTTTTACGTGTCATCTCTGAAAACCAGCTCATTCTTTTCCCTCAAGTCATCCTTTTATTTTTGATTTGCCAGTTTTTGTCTGGGACATTCTCATCATTCCTTCTGTGTATTCCCGGCTTCCCATTGCTTCCTGCCTACAGGCAGCCCTCTCTGGCTCTCCACCCACGTTCCCCTCTCTCCCGTCCATCACAGACTCTCCCAGTCCCGATCAATGAGCAACAACAGCAGCACCTGCCAAGCTGATAGTAGAGCCCCCATGGGCTTGGGGTGGGACCAGACCCCGTCCTCCAAAAGCAGCTCCTCCCACACACTAGTAAGCCTTCTCCTGCCGACTTGCCACGACCCTGTTACTCTGAAACTTCCGCCCAGAAGAGAACCCGCAGGGACGCGCAGACACTGCTCTTCCGTGTCAATGTACATGTGACACAAATGACTCCGGTGGTTCAGAATGGAGTCTCTGGGAAGAGGAAGGAGCGTCACGTGGCTCCTGCATGCTCTGTAAGAATATTATGCATCCGCCAAACACGCCTCAGAAGCAGGAAGACGGATTCCCCCACCCCACAAGAGACGCATATCCTGATCCACCAAAGAAGAAATTCCTTTGTTAATTTCCCACCCCCACTTCCCCTTTCCAAAGCTGTAGGAGCACCAACAAGAATAGGAGCGTCAGCCCCAGCAATGACAGCTGGCCATCGGCCTTACAGACTGTCCTAACCTTGCTTTCCCATGCACACGCTCAATGAACCCAGAACAAAGGAAAGCCATGCTTCTTCCCCACTGTCCTCACAAGTTTCTAATCAGTGCAGTGAGGTTTGTTGTAAGCTAGATTCTGCTGTAAATCTGGGTCCCAGAGCATATTTCATTGATTCTATAATGCATATTTTTTCACATTTTAATATCTCTTGATTTAGGATACATCTTACAACAGACATCATGTTGTTATTTTTTGACAGCATTCTTAGTTTCTTGAGATACATAAAATGATGCTTCTAACAACCAACACATTTTAGATCTGATGAAATACATTAAATAGGTCTCACAGCACCAGAGAGAATGCTCTGAGGAGTATGTCCCTCAAGCTTTCCACAACTGGCCACACTCTGTCACCTGAGGCTAGAAGACAAAGGGATGGTGAGAAGGAGATAAGACCCTCTCCATCTAGAAGTAAATGCAGTAGCACACATTTATATGAAGCTGTTCTTTCTCCTCAAGACTAAACTTAGGATTCTAAGCCAGGCTCAGTACAAAAATGGATGTACTTATATGGAGACACAAAGAAAGGCTGAAAATGTTTCCTTCCCAAAGAGAACAGCATATTACCTTGGCTCAGATGGTAAAGAATCCGCCTGTAATGCAGGAGACCTGGGTTTGACCCCTGGGTTGGGAAGATCCCCTGGAGAAGGGAACAGCTATCCACTCCAGTATTCTGGCCTGGAGAATTCCATGGACAGAGGAGTCTGGCAGGCTACAGTCCATGGGGTCGCAGAGCTGGACATGACTGAGCGACTTTCACTTTCATAGATAATCTAAAGATTCAGATACATAAGGAGCAAAGCTCCTTTTACCCGCATGATACTAGTATACACTGCTGATTCCTAGTAATATGGTTTTAGATTCATCTCAATTAACATTTATAAAATACTTCCTTTGCATTATGTTCTGGGCTAAGTCTGAGGAGTAAAAAGATGAATAAAATGTTGAGTATCTAAGGTGTTCGGACCAGCAACAGTGATAGAAACAAAAACAACTCTAAGGTGTGTGTGCATGCTCAATCTCTAAGTTGTGTCCGACTCTCAGTGACTCCATGAACTGTAACCCACCAGGCTCCTCTGTCCATGGGATTTCCCAGGCAAGAATACTGGAGTGGGTTGCCATTTCCTCCTCCAGGGGATCTTCCTGACCCAGGGATCAAACCCGCGTCTCCTGTGTCTCCTGCTTTGGCAGGCAAATTCTTTACCGCTGAGCCACCTGGGAAGCCCCCAACTAAAAGGCAGGTAATACATAAAACATTACAAGACTACAGAAGTGAGAACGGTTCACTCTTCCTAACGACCTTGCGAAAAGGGAAGGCGCTTAGACCAGGGCAGAAGTTGGCCAGAAGGAAGGATGAAAGCAGTGCACATTCTGCACCACAGCACATGGCACCCCTGGGAGGCGGAAGATGGACCTCAGCAGAAGATGAGACTGGTGAGGCAGAACGGAGCTGACAAGAGAGCCTCATGTGCCTCCAGAGAGACTCTGGAGTTTGGATTTTATCTGTGGGTTAATTTTTAAAGACAGTAGCTACAAGATCTTTTCAGACAGTTTCAAGGGGACAAGATGAGACCATTCAGAGGGACCTCTAAGAACAGTGCACCACCCCAATGTTCATCGCAGCACTGTTTATCATAGCCAGGACATGGAAGCAACCTAGATGCCCATCAGTAGACGAATGGATAAGAAAGCTGTGGTACATATACACCATGGAATATTACTCAGCCATTAAAAAGAATTCATTTGAATCAGTTCTAATGAGATGGATGAAACTGGAGCCCATTATACAGAGTGAAGTAAGCCAAAAAGATAAAGACCATTACAGTATACTAACACATATATATGGAATTTAGAAAGATGATAACGATAATCCTATATGCAAAACAGAAAAAGAGACACAGATGTATAGAACAGACTTTTGGACTCTGTGGGAGAAGGCGAGGGTGAGATGTTTCAAGAGAACAGCATCAAAACATGTATATTATCTAGGGTGAAACAGATCACCAGCCCAGGTTGGATGTATGAGACAAGTGCTCGGACCTGGTGCACTGGGAAGACCCAGAGGGATCGGGGGGGAGAGGGAGGTGGGAGGGGGGATTGAGATGGGGAACACATGTAAATCCATGGCTGGTTCATGTCAGTGTATGGCAAAACCCACTACAATACTGTAAAGTAATTAGCCTCCAACTAATAAAATAAATAAATAAATAAATAAATAAAAAGAAAAGAAAAAAAAGAACAGTGCACCGGAGTAGTGATGTACACTAAAGATACACAGTGCAAAAGGCATGGAAATAAAAGCCTCAGTGAGTATCTGGGGAAAAGGAAAGGAGGGCCACGGGAATACCGACTGTTATCCGCCAGGCTCACACCCCACCGATCCTGCTGCCCTTACGTGGAATCCAGCAGGGTCCCGTCCAGAAGAGAGGCGTTGTAGTGATACTTGAGGTAATCCCCTTTCTTACTCAGCACTGAGCAGTCGGGGGGCTTGTAGTGGGAGGTGATGCTGATGGAGTCTGATGGGTTGTGAAAGTCAATCACGTGGATGTCAAACACCAGCACGGCCGATCCAGGGATGTTCCCTAGAGGACAGACACAGGCAGTTAGAATAGTAGCAGGACACCTGGCTCCCCGGCGTCACCAGGTGTTCCTCACAGACCTCAGTGAGAAACACAGGGACGGGCTATGTAATCCTAGGGGTGCTGGAAGGACAGAGCTGGAAGGGCTGTTAACATGTAAACTAATTCAGTTTTATAGACAGGGAAACTGAGGCACAGATTTGTCCAGGGTCCACAGTCAGGAGCACAGTGTGGACTAAAAGTCAAGACACTGCACTACTGCCCCATGGAATGGTTAAGCCTGAAAGACTTACAGCTAAGTTCATCAGAGATGAGAAAACTAAAGCTCAGCTGAATTAACACTTGCCCGGCTCCTGCTAGAAGAGGTGAGCTAAGAAAATCAGTTAGAGAATGGAAATCACATTAGTGCCCTACCACTGCTCGAGAGAAACAAAACCAACAGTAACTTCATGGGGGAAAGTTCAGTTCAGTTGCTAAGTTGTGTCCGACTCTTTGCGACCCCATGGACTGCAGCATGCCAGGCTTCCCTGTCCATCACCAAATCCCAGACCTTGCTCACGCTCATGTCCATTGAGTCGGTGATACCATCCAACCATCTCATCCTCTGTCATCCCCTTCTCCTCCTGCCTTCAATCTTTCCCAGCACCAGGGTCTTTCCCAGCATGAGCATCATGGGGGAAAACACCTAACTAAAACTGGCGCATATACACCCCTTTAGATATACTACACCTAACAGTTCACAAAGTGCTTTCTGACATGTCCTGTTCTACACAAAGCTATTGCACTTCCACTTTTGAGAACATTATGTCACATCTAAATAATGTTTTACACTGTGTGTGTGTGTGTGTGTGTGTATGTGTGTGTGCGTGCTAAGTCACTTCAGTCTTGTCTGACTCTTTGTGACCCAATGATCCATAGCCTGCCAGGCTGCTCTGTCCATGGGATACTCCAGGCAAGAGTACTGAGTGGGTAGCCATGCTCTCCTCCAGGGGATCTTCCAACCCAGGGATTGAACCCACATCTCTTACATCTCCTGCAATGGCAGGCAGGTCCTTTACCACTAGCGCCACAGCATTTTTCACATACATTCTCTTATTAAATCTCTGCAGCAACCTTGTTGGGTAAATATTATCACAAATTCAGAAACAGCAGTTCCTGCATGAATTTAATGACAGCTTCTAGGGAGGCATCAGTTGTTAACCACACTTCCCAAATCATTTCAGAATTTAAATGTAAAAGATCTGTAAACAGTGATACTTAGAATCAAGAATGTATAATATTTTCATTAGCATTCTGCAGACAAGCAAACCAACTCATATAGAACTTGTTCAAGAAAATAACACACCTATCAACAGAATTTAGTAGAGATACTTGAACATCAACAGCCCCTCTTCACCCCACAGATCTTCCAACTCCTAACACCCCTACCATGTACTTTTCTGTTTTTTTGTCTGCTTTCTCTCTAACACACACTTAATGGGTAGGTGCTTGTTAACTACCAGGCACTCTTATAAGTGCTTTAGATGTATTAGTTTATTTAATTCTCATTATAATCATATATTCCCAACCTACAGATGAGGAAACTGAGGCACAGGTTTAGACACCTGCCCAAAGTTACCAAGGTGTAATTAGAGAAGCTTGTGTGTCTACAGCAGAACACAGGTGCCTGATATTCATTAGTGATGGGGAGTTGCTGATGTGAGCAGTAACAGGATGCAGGATCTTTTCCATAGGAACCAGGTACTGCAAACTGCCATGGGAAGGTGCTCAGAAACCAGAGTCAAGGGCAGCTCTCTGCAGGAAACAGCACACACTAACAGGGGTGAGTGGCTGTGGAACCATCTCAGTGCTTTCTCAATCTTGGTTACCCCTTACAGTCGACAGGGAATGAACCTTGAAAACATTATGCTCCAACACAGAAAGACAAATATTGTATGTTTTCAATTATATGAGACACTCGGAATAGGCAAACTCATGGAGACAGAAAGTAGAATGATGGTTCCCATGGGCTGGAGGGAGAGAGGGTAATGCAGAGTTTGGGATAATGGAAAAGTTCTGGGTATAGACAATGGTGATGGTTATACCACATTGTGAATATATTCAATGGCACAGAACTGTAAGCTTAAAAAAGTGTTTAAATGGTAAATATGTACATTTTACCACAATAAAAATTAATTCACCACATTCACAGAATAAAAGAAAAAATCAAGATGACCTGAAAAAAAAAAATCACCTGGGTGCCCCTCTAAGATTCAGATTTAGCTTATCTAGTGCAGTGGTCCGTCTCGGTCTTGGGTGCTATCATGATGTCCTGGAGAACTTGGTGAAAACACAAAGGGCCAGGACTTTTCCCATGCAGTACCTTTGGTTCTGTAATCTTTTACCTGTCAGGTGATTCTCTTCTGTGATATGCACCAGCATTTGAGAACAGCTGAACTAGAGTGGTACCAGGCATAGTATTGTTCTGTTTTGTTTCCCAGGGCTTTTGTGTTGTTTTGTTCTGCCCCTCCAAGGGGCAGCCAAGTTTAAGGAATGCTGTGCTAAATGGTCTGTAAGTGAGCAGCTGATGCTATTTAGGAAGCCCTCGAATGGTGGTGCTGGAGAAGACTCGTGAGAGTCCCTTGGACTGCAAGGAGATCAAAACAGTCCATCCTAAAGGACATCAACCCTGAACATTCATTGGAAGGACTGATGCTGAAGCTGAAGCTCCAGTACTTTGACTACCTGATGCAAAGAGTCGACCAGGGAACAGACCCTGATGCTGGGAAAGATTGAAGGCAAAAGGAGAAGAGGGCAGCAGAAGACGAAATGGTTAGATAGCATCACTGACTCCAGAGACATGAATTTGAGCAAACTCCAAGAGATACTGAAGGACAGAGAAGCCTGGCGTGCTGCAGTTCATGGGGTCGCAAAGAGTTGGACACGACTAAGTGACTCAACAACAGGGGTGCAGGCCATGGTTGGTGTAGGAGATTGGTGGAAAAGAAAGCTGCATCTTGAGCAGCTCCATTAACTTCTCTGAAGAAAGCATGCGGATGAAGCCCAGAAAGGGACAAGGACCTGATGGCATTGGAACAATGCCAGTTTAACCTCCCTGCGCCAACTGTATGACCGAACTACATCCAAGATGCCTGTTCTCTTGCTCTCTGTGCTGCCCATGCTTGATCAGTTCCTGCTTCACTCACATCACTGTCCAATTCTCTTAATCACAGTGCTTAACCAGCAAATGCCTACATGCATGGCCTGTGCCAGATGCTGGTTTCCCGAGTAACTGATGATGAGCCAGCCTGAAGACAGGTCCCCCTATAAATGGTGGCCCCTTTTCCCCAGTGCAGGGGAGCAAAATTTACCACCCCAAAACATCTCTTTGACATGTGGATTATTCCAAGTTGAGAGCAAGACCCAAAAGACTCAAACAAAAACCCTCCTTTTTATCTCCTACTTAACTGCCTAAAGAATGTAGATAGAGGACTGTTGGGGGTAGGGGGGGTGGGGAGCTATCACCAGAGATAACGACAGCATGAGTTAGGTGTGTAGACAGGGAGGGAACTAGCAAAGTCTGTTAGTTAAAATTTCTCTCAGGTCCCAATGTCTGTGTGGCCCAACAAATATCTGTATACCTAACACTTGCTTTTCCTTCTCCAGGTCAATCACCTTCCTCCCTTTTGAAGTCTAAAAACACTACACCCAACATCCTCTTCTGTCTTTAGCTAAAGGTGATGTTAAGGCTAGGGCTTCAGACATTTTGGTGAGTTACTCAGTTTCCTTAGATTCCGTTAAGGACATATATACATGTCCTTAAACTTTGATTTTCTCCTGTTAGTCTGTCTCATATCAATTTAATTCTTAGACCAGCCAGAAGAACCTAGAAGTGTAGAAGAAATGATTTTCCTCCCCATTACCAGCAAACTTGAAATCCAGCTTTTCATTATGGCACCAGCCTCCTCTTTGAAAAAACTCATAACCAATGCAGAAAAGTAGTCATCAATTTTCTCCACTAGATAAGCCTCCTCAAGAAGAGACACGGATGACACAAAATAAAACCGACTGGCACTCTGGGCCAGAAGGAAGCTCGGTGACTCCTTGGAAGCATGGGTTTCCTCTGAGAGCTCTGGGACTTCTCCATATATGGGTATCAACAAGTCACAGCCTAATGGAAAGGCATTCTTCCCACAGGCAGCAAGAGCCCTGGGTCCAACTGAGCTCCATACTAATTAGTTATTGTGGCCTCCGGCAAATGACTCAACCTCTTTGGGCCTCCTGTTCTTAACTGAGAACTGTTTTGAAGTTTGAACAAGCTCATATATGAGAAGTCTTTGAGAGTATGGGTCAAACATTAGCTTCTCTTTTAACTTTGAAAAAGAGTGCTTAAAAGAAAATGTGCTCAAGAGAGGGAGAGATATATGTATACTAAAGCTGATTCATGTTGTACAGCAGAAACTAACAAACATTATAAAACAATTATCCTCCAATTAAAAAAAAAAAAGGTAATGTGGAAGTTGGGGGGCAGAAAACCATTGAGGAAGTGATGCTTCTACAACCCTGCAGTAGAATTTATTCTCCACTTGAGGGCTGGGAACATATCTAGGCGCTCTAAACTTAGGGCTGAACCCCATGAAGCAAAGCAGACAGAAAAAAGGGCCAGAGCCTTTACAGAAGGGCTGCCCCCTCCCCTCCATCAACCCTGTAAGAGAACATAACTGCAACAAAATGAAATTCTGATGAGTTGGAGAACGCATGAAGAGCCCAGCATTTCTTCCTTCTGCAAATATTCCCCACCCTGTGGTATGCAGTAAGGAAGCCACAGACTTCCTCTGTGTCCTGACACCCTTCTAAGGTCAGCCCCTCCATGATTAGCGTTAGGTCCTGTGCAAATCCCGCAGAAGGCGAGAGGCACTCGTTAACCAACAGGTCAGAGACAGATCCTGTGCAAGAGCACCTGGGTGTCACTTGCCAGGGTGCCCCTCCCTCCGTGGCAACATATGATTCAGGGTGAAGCAGCCTCGTGCCCAGAAAATTTATGAGACTTCAAATGCTTCCCAGAACTTTATATAATTCTTTGCAAAACTATCTCATACTTGAGAGAAAGCCAAAAGGAGAAAAATAATTTAACCAAATGTTTTCTATCAGCATATTCTTCTTAGGGAAAGGAAGAATTGGTTCTTTTTTTTTTTTTTTTTTTGGCGTCTCTAAATATCTTTTATTGTTTTTTGTTGTTGTTGTTTTTTTTTATTTTACATGTATTCCCCATCCCGGAAGAATTGGTTCTAAGGGCATAACAAAACAGGGTATTCTGAAAGTATTTGTCTATTCCTGTATGTATTTGTCTAGAAGTAGACATTTACAGGGGGCTTCCCTGGTGGCTCAGAAGTAAAGAATTTACCTGCAGTGCAGGAGGTGTAGGAGCTGCAGGTTCAATCCCTGAGTCGGAAAGATCCCAGAGGAGGGCATAGCAACCCACTCAAGTATTCTTGCCTGAAGAGTCCCACAGACAGAGCAGCCTGGAAGGCTGCAGTCCACAGGGTTGCACAGATTTGGACACGACTGAAGTGACTTAGTACAGCACAGACATTTACATAATACAAAAAAATAGAGCATCAAGACACTAGACAAACAGGACATGAAGTGAGGCCTGCTGAATGATCTTAAGATCGTAAGCTATGATTTCTTGTGGCTTTATAACAGAAATTTAAGTCAGGGAAAAAATATTTCTCCATGGTACACCCTAGTTTCCAACCAACCTGGGGCTTCTTAGACCTTTCAAACAAATCCTACTGGGAAAATTCTGAAATCCATATGATACAGTAGTAGAAGTCAGAAGCGGGTTAACAAAATGAATGTGTACAGTCAGCCAGGCCAGCCAGCAAAAAGAACACAAAAGCAAAATAATACTGCATCAACTATTCCTAAGTTAGCAAAACATGGTATATTAGAAAAAAAGAAAGGCAATATGGTTTGGAATAGTATGCAACCATTAAAATTCTATGCAACCTGTTGGCATAAAACATTGTCCACAACAAATTAGGTAAAGAGAAATTACAAAGTAATATGTGTAGATGATCACAATTTTGTCAGTATTTATTAGTGTAAATGGTTATGTATTTCCTTTTACTGATATATTCACATATACTCAAGATATAGAAGTATACAACCACTTTATGGTTGTATTAGTTTTCTAAGGCTGCTGTATCAAATTACCAGAAACTTGGTGGCTTAAAACAACAGAAATGTATTCTTATAACTCAGGGGTCAAAGTCTAAACTAAAGGTATTTTCAGGGATGTGTTTCTTTTGGAGGTTTCAGGGGAGAATCTGTTTCCCCATCTTTCAAGCTTCTCAAGGTCACCCTCCTTCCTTGGCTTGTGGCCCCTTCCTCCATCTTCTCAGTCAGCAGCCTAGCATTTTCTCCTCTCTCTGGTCTCTTACAAAGATACTAGGAAGGACATTAAGGCCATGATCCAGGATAACCTCCTTATCTCACCTTAATTATATCTGCAAAGTCTCTTTTACCATGTAAAGTAGCATATTCACATGTTCTGCAAATTAGGACATGGACATCTTTGGGGCCAGTATTCCATCTACCACATTAATAATGCTTATTCCTGGCTGGTGAGATTATGGGAAATTTTTGTTGTTGATGAGCTCTGTTTTTCTAAAGTCAACATATATTATCTGTGTGATTTTTTTTTTTAAAGATTGCTCTTTGGGTGACAAATATTCTAAAACTAGATTAATGTGATAACTGCTCATTTCAATACATTTACTAAAAATCATTGAGTTGTATACTTAAAAATAGGTGAATTTTATGGCATATCTCAATAAAGTTGTTAAAAACAAAAACCAAAATAATGCACAGTATAGCAAATACAGACAACAATATTATAATCATCAAACTTGATCATTATCAATTATCCCATCCCCCCCCAAAAAAATGGTAATTATGTACCATGACAGAAGGGCTTCCCAGGTGGCTCAATGGTAAAGAATCTGCCCACTAATGCAGGAGACTCAGGTTTGGTCCCTGGGTCAGGTAGGTCAGGAAGATCCCCTGGAGTAGGAAATGGCAACCCATTCCAGTATTCTCGCCTGGGAAATCCCATGGCCAGAGGAACCCGGCGGGCTATACAGTCCATGGGGTTTCAGAGTCGGACACAACTGAGCGACTGAACACACACCACGATAGAGGTGCTCATTCTCACTACAATGGCAATCACATTACAATATATAAACATACAAAATAGCATGTACACCTTAAAGGCACACATGTTATATATCAAATATACTTCAACAAAAGAAGCGGGAGTTGGCATTTACTTTCAAATAACTCAACAAAGAGAAAATATAGTTTTACACATACAGAAAAAATAAATACATAGCAAGATGTTAACAACTGGTGAACTGGTGAATCTAAGTGGAGTTCACTGCACAATTCTTTCAACTCTGACATAGTTTTAAATTTTCCAAAAGGAAAGCGGGCAGGGGGAACAAGGAGAAACGCCAGAGCCCCTCTAGAACTAGAAACTCTAGAAACTAGAAACTAGAACTCTATAAACTAGAGTTATATCTGAGCATTCAAGTCTGAGGCTGGACTTTAGCTTCTAGGCTTTGGCTCTCAAAGGCCCTACTCCAAGCATTGTGGAAGCAGCAATTAGTCTGCTCAGCTGACCCTAGAAGGCACGCAGAGCTCACCTCTTCCTTCCTCACCGTAGCCCAGGTGAGGGGGGACCACGATCCTCCGCTTCTCTCCGATGCAGACTCCAAGTAAACCTTCGTCAATCCCTGGAATCACGTAGCCCTGCCCAATGTACGTGTCAAAAGTGCGGTTCCGCGAGTAGCTGGCAAAGAGGAAAAGAGCTTGATCACAAGGGACGCCGCAGACGCTGTGGGGTCGGTACGGCGAAGCAGCCAGAGCGCGGAGGCCTCCAGATCAGAGGTGGGGGACACCCTAGAGCCGGAGGACAAGCCAGGAAACATGCTCCCCTGAAATGGTGAACAAGGGTCCACACATGGCCTGGGAGCTGCTTCCAGCAGAGATGCTCACAGAAAGAAGCCCTCCAGCACTTGGCTTTAGTCAGGTTATGAATTGGATGCAGGTTACAAGAAGCAACCACGCAGGAATGTAGCTAATGGAAACAGGACTGTACTCTTGGGGACCATGTTTAGTCAATGAAAAATGCATCAAGGGGTCCTTAACAGAAACTAGGAATTTCTCTGTTAGCTCTTGTAAACAGTTTTATTTAGAAGTTTTAAAGTCTTCTATTACTCTAATATAAAGTTTCAAAGGAAAGCCAAAAAAGGGGGAAAAATTAAAAAGAAATTAACAATTTTTCTAAAGAGGAGAACACCTGTTTATGGGAGACATGAATATTTGGACTGCCAGAAAAGTAGTATATGTACTGAGAGCCGTTCAACTCTCCAACCTCCACCAGGGCCTGGATGAACCTGCCCCGCTGTAGTTGCTGCTCATCAAGCCTCCTGGTGAGTACCTGCCTTTCTCAACGCCTCTGGCAGGAGACGGGAGCATTCCGCTCAGTGGAGAGATCCAATCTCTCTGGCTCTGATTACACTATGAGTTTGGAGAGAATAGGGATAAATCTCCCAAAGCCTGATGATTCCAGAATAAAATAATAAAACTTCACATGTCAGGTCTGCTACCAAACTGAACTGCAATGATCTGTGCCCATTACCCACCCTTACATGGCACAGATGTGGCAAAAAGCTTGTCCTGAAAGAGCCAGTTCACTATCGGTGTCACTTCACCAAACACAAGGATGATGGCCTGAGAGGAGGGCCAGCAGTGGGGCCAGGGAGATGAAAAGCAGAGCTATGAGGGGCTCTTCCTTCTCAGCTCCCCCCAGGGACCAGAGCCACAGGGCACAAAGAAATGACAGCATCAAGTGATTCTCCTCAGCCAGGAAGCAGGCTGGCTACATACTTGTCTGTATTTCATTGTATATGAATGGAAGACCTATTAAATCATCACACTAGTTCCCTGTGAAGAGGGGAACTAGGAGGCTGGTGGTCAAAGAGAGGGGGAAAATTCTTCATTGTTTATCCTTTTATACTTCTAGAATTTTAAATCATGTCAATGTATCACTTAATAGGAAAAAATGATGTTTACAAAGAAAAAGAATATTCTCTATTATACAAATTAAGAAGTTACAATAGCTAAAGGTGTGATAGTGGCCCAGGAATGATAACTAGATCACTGGAAAGGGATAAAAATTCTAGACCAAGACCCAAAGTGTATATAAGAATTTAGTACGTAATAAATGTCAGATTTGAGATGAGTGAGGAAAAGACAGTTATTCAATAGTGTTGGAAAAACTAGCTAACCAACTGGAAAAAAACATTTAGATCCTTATGGTAATACTGAACACCACAATAAATTCCAGATGGATTAAAGATTTTAAACATGAAAGAGTTTACAAGCATGGACAGAGTCTGTGGAAGGTTTTTAATATTTGCCTCAAGTGGTGAAAATGGAAGGGGTTGATGTGAAATTATGACATTTTACTAAATATCTTTGTATTGTTTCACTTATACAATAAGAACATAATAGTTTCTCAAATAAAAACTCTAATAGAGACTATTTTAAAGGATTAAAAAAATAAAATAAATAAATAAATAAAACAAAAATAAAATAAAATAAAACAATTAGAAGGGCATGAAGAAAATACAGGTAAATATTTATATACCCTAGACGAGGAGAGAGACTTTTAGCAAGTTATCCAAAACAGAATATATATATATATATATATGTAAGAATTTACATAAGAATAAAGGAAGCCATAAAGTAGATGTGGAATGCATTTAATAACATAAAAGGTTATATTTAAAACATATCAAAAATCACAATAACCAAAATTAAAATGCAAATAAATAAGCAATATGCCTTCAACAATAAGCAACCATAAAAGAGTTAATATCTTTAATGTATCAAGATCTAAATTAAGAAAAGGACAAATACCAATATCCTCAATATAAAAACAGGCAAAAGACACAAACAGGTAAATCACAAAACAAAATATCCAGATAGTCAATAAACATTTGAAAGTATTTCAACCTTAATAGCAATCAAAGAAATTCAGATTAAAATTATAAAATTCTATTTTTCTCCTATAAATTAGCAAAGATAATTTATAAATGATACCTAATGTTGCTGAGTTTGCAGGGAATGGGGTATTCTTAGTGATGTAAAACCTTCCTTAAGGATAGCTTGGTAGTTATATCAAAAGCTGTAAAAATACACATAACCTTAGATCTAGAGATTCTTCTAGACATTTATCCTAAGGAAACAATTATATTATTTAAGATTTTACTGCAAAAGTAAATACTGCAGCTCTACTTAGGACATCAAAAGGTAGAAAACATTGAGGATTGATTACTAAATTAAGGCAAATCTTGATAACGGAATATTACTTAGTTCTTAGGATGAGTTAGATCCCAGTATACTAAAATGGAAATCTGTTTGAAACCTAAGAAAACTGGCTCCATTAATAAGGGAAGAAATCTGGTATCTGCTAGGAAAATGGCCTTTCAACTAGAAATATAATTCCAGGGAATAAAAGACAGAACCAAGCTCATATGTGACTAATCACACACATGTGCACACACATACACACACACTGAATTTTTTTTGATAGAAAAAGAATAAAAACAACTCAATGTCATCAGTGGGGAATGGTTAAATAAATATGGTGTGTTCACCCAATTCACTGCAGACAAAAAATGACTTCTCTTGATGCATTAATATGGAAATAGTCCCAAAGTGAAAAAAAGCAAGGGGCAGAATAGTGCATATAGTACATAGCATTATGTTCTGTATGGATATGTAATACATAATGTTATATATGTATGCATATAGTATTCTAAATGCTATATTCTATAAAGGGAGAAGATATTAATAATATAACAATTGTATTTGATTATATCTGTATTAGAAAAAAATCCACACATTTGAAGAATATGAAAAGAAACTTATTAATAAAAGTGGTTAACTCTAAGTGGCTTGTGGAGAGGGGGATGTAAGGTTGGCAGGGATGATTAATACAACATATCTTAATGCATATTTTATTTTAATTTTGAACAATGTAACTATTGCCTTTTTCCAAAAAATCAAATGAAAAATTTAAAAGAAGGGATCCTAGAAGCAGGAAAAATGAATTATGCAAATAAAATTACACCATATAAAAATTCTTCTGTAATGTTTCTGGATGACTAATTAAACAGGAAGTCTCTTACCTCAGAGAGACAGGAAGACTGCTGTCACTACTTGTTTGCTTTATAGGAAGCTAAAGGAATGATTTCCAGACAACACAAACCAAATGCCTGTTGCCTGATCAAGACTGCAAGCTAAGCTTGATAAACAATACAAAACTGACTAATGACAGGCTCAGTAATTAACCTCCTAATTAGTATCAGGATGGGAGCATAATGCAGCCAAACAGTTCCTGCAGCAGATAAGTCATCAAAGTTTGCAAGCGCTTCCACCTACCTTCTCTCTTTAATCTAACTATTTCTTTGAGAAAGGAGCTAACAACAGGGGAAAAACTGAAGATCAGAGAGGTTAAATGCTTTAATGCGCCACATACAGGGCCTGGAATCCAGGTCTCTTGATACCAGGTCTGTTCTCTCCATCCAACGGCCTGGACTTCCCTTCCAGTCACTTCCCATCTCAGACTCCAGACCTGGGTTTGTACTTGGATTGTTGAGCGCAGTCTACAGGGGTGGTGGGAGTCTTAGCATGAGCCCTCCTGCTTTCCTGCAGACCCATCTCCTACAGAGCCCGGGAGACTGTTCTAACACCCTTGAAGGAATTCAGTATCACACAATACAAATCTATACTGAAGATGAAAATACTAACTCCAGATCAGCACTGACAAGTATACAGATCATAGTCTGCCAGCTGTAAACTAGTTACTAGATGTTCTGGTCAGTGAAGGACCCTGTTTGCTCACCTGGAATCAAAGAATGTGCCATCCAGGAGCGTGCCGTTGTAATGATACCTGAGAAAGTCCCCGCTTTGACTTCGCCGCTCACAGTTTTCAGGCACTACTTTATTCTCAATGGAAATGCCATCCTTAGGGTTATGGAGGTCCAATAACGCAACATCAAACACCAGAGATGCCTGACCAGGAATGTCTTTCCCTAGAGTGGAATGAAGTAAGATGATGAAATCAGGACACACGATTTAGGAAGTACTGTAACTACAATTCAACACCCACCACATTGGTGTTACACATTCCTTGAAGTTTTCAAGCCAAGGAAATAAATGTGCTTTCACGTCTTGGGTGGTTCCCCATGGAACATTCTGTCTCACTACGGTGTCCAACCATGGGCTGACAGGTATAATTTGAAGCCTGACTTCCTCAGAAACAGGAGCAAACCGATATTAATGACATGGAGATCACTGTGACCACATTTTCTATGCCTGTGCTTGCAAATCGAGGCTCTGTGTGGGTGGTTATGCACCCACATGCAAACCCAAATACATACCTTTGTGGACTTCTGTTTGTGAACAGATGCAAATCACAGACATTCCAAAGCTTGGATATGGTTCTGGAGAACACTACATAGACTTGTTCTTCGGAACTCACAGTCAATTTTCAAAAAATGTATTTTATTGAAGTATAGTTGTTTTATAATGTGCTAATTTTTGCTGTATAGCAAAGTGATTCAGTTATATATATATTCTTTTCCATTGTGGTTTACTACAGGACATTGACTGTAGTTCCCTGTTCTATACAGTAGAACCATGTTGCCCCTTCATTTCATACACAATAGTTTCCATCTGCTAATTCCAAACTCCCAATCCATTCCTTTCCCACCGCCCTCCGCTTTGGCAACCACAAGTCTGTTCTCTGTCTGGAAACTCGCAGCCAATTTTTTAAAGAGGCAAAAATTCACTCCTTTAAATGCATCCAAAACAACATATAAACAAAACTAAAGTTAGCTAAGAGGGGGAAAGGAAAATGCCACCCACAATGCAAACTAAAAATAGTCCTCAAATCATGTCTATCTCATTTCACGGTGCTACTGCTCCTCTTGGATATTCCTGACAGTGAGGATTTACTGAATATGTGCCAGGGGATAATCCGCAGGAAGAGATTATTGGGCACTAGCTCTTCTTGCAGAAGTTCAACATCCACAAATACCTAACTCTAAACCCAGGACTCTGGGATAAAAGGAAGTTAGTTACCTGACAAACCACCTCCATCAACACTCTTACTTGCCATTTGTTATGCCATAAAAGGAGAAGGCCTGGGCAAGTGAACCACTGGACATCCCAAGCATGTGCTCCTTCAGCTGTCTCTGTTGCAAAATCATTCCCCCATCTCCTTCCCTTCAGAAGAATGGTGAAGTTTGCTCAAAGTGGGCTGCCAAGTTGGCCTTTGGCATGCCAGGTGTGATCAATCCCTTTGGAATCCCAGGTGTGGGTATGGGAGGGTGTGTGTAGAATGTTAATCTTTTTTACTTTTCAGTATCTTTTAATTTAATAGAAAACAGAACCCCTTAAAGTTTCACTTAACCCTGAAAGTGAAGTGAAAATGTTCATCGTTCAGTCATGTTCAACTCTTTGTGACCCCATGGACTGCAGCCCGCCAGGCTCCTCTGTCCATGGGGTTTTCCAGGCAAGAATACTGGAGTGGGTTGCCATTTCCTTCTCCAGGGGATTGTCCTACCCAGGGATCAAACCCACATTGCAGGCAGATTCTTTACCATCTGAGCCACCAGGGAAGCCCTAGTGTTTAAATTTTTCTAGCATTATAAGGTACTACCTGAATGTTTGCTTTTTTATAACAACTTTCAGTTCAGTTCAGTCGCTCAATCGTGTCTAACTCTTTGCAACCCCATAGACTGCAACACGCCAGGCCTCCCTATCCATCATCAACTCCCGGAGTTTACTCAGACTCATGTGCATTGAGTTGGTGATTCCATCCAGCCATCTCATCTTCTATCATCCCCTTCTCCTCCCGCCTTCAATATTTTCCAGCATCAGGGTCTTTTCCAACAAGTCAGTTCTTTGAATCAGGTGGCCAAAGTATTGGAGTTTCAGCTTCAGTATCACTCCTTCCAATGAATATTCAGGACTGATTTCCTTTAGGATGGACTGGTTGGATCTCCTTGCAGTCCAAGGGACTCTCAACAGTCTTCTCCAACACCACAGTTCAAAAGCATCAATTCTTTGGCACTCAGCTTTCTTTATAGTCCAACTCTCACATCCATACATGACTACTCAAAAACCATAGCTTTGACTAGCTGGACCTTTGTTGGTAACATCTCTGCTTTTTAACATGTTGTCTAGGTTGGATACAACTGAAGCGACTTAGCAGCAGCAGCAGCAGCCAGGTTGATCATAACTTTTCTTTCAAGGAGCAAGTGTCTTTTAATTTCATGGCTGTAGTCACCATATGCAGTGATTTTGGAGCCCCAAAAATAAAGTTGGTCACTGTTTCCATTGTTTCCCCATCATCCCCCATGAAGTCATGGGGCTAGATGCTGTGATCTTAGTTTTCTGAATGTTGAGTTTTAAGCCAACTTTTTCACTCTCCTCTTTCACTTTCATCAAGAGGTTCTTTAATTCTTCTTTGCTTTCTGCCATAAGGGTGGTGTCATCTGCATATCTGAGGTTATTGATATTTCTCCTGGCAATCCTGATTCCAGCTCGTGCTTCATCCATTCCATCATTTCTCATGATTACTCTGCATATAAGTTAAGTAAGCAGGGTGACAGTATACAGCCTTGACGTACTCCTTTCCCAGTTTGGAACCAGTGTGTTGTTCCATGTCCAATTCTAACTGTTGCTTCCTGACCTGCATACAGATTTCCCAGGAGGCAGGTCAGGTGGTCTGGTATTCCCATCTCTTTCAGAATTTTCCACAGTTTGTTGTAATCTACACAGTCAAAGGCTTTGGCATAGTCAATAAAACAGAAGTAGATATTTTTCTGGAACTCTCTTGCTTTTTCAATGATACAGCAAATGTTGGCAATTTGAACTCTGGTGCCTCTGCCTTTTCTAAACCCAGCTTGAACACGGGAAGTTCATGGTTCACGTACTGTTGAAGCCTGGCTTAGAGAGTTTTGAGCATTACTTTGCTAGCATGAGAGATGACTGCAATTGTGCGGTAGTTTGAGTATTCTTTGGCATTGCCTTTCTTTGGGATTGGAATGAAAACTGACCTTTACAACTTTATTGAGACTTAATTCCCATACAATTCATCTACTTAAATTTATGCCTGGATAGCTGAGCAGAATGTCAACGTTTAAAGCATTTAAAAATAACTGTTTTTAATGAACTATTTATTTTAAATATTTAAATTAGTAATTATTTAAAATAAATAAATAACACTCCTCACATCAGGCTGGGCATCTCGTTTTATCTGGTACGTTATATGCATGTAGATGAAGACAAAAGGATTCGAGAGTCAAGGGGAACAAACTTCTACTAGCCAAGGATGACACAATTTGAGTATCAATAAGACAATAACATATCTTGAGGAGGGGAGAATTAAGAAATATTTACGGTAGCTGTTTTCAAGCTGCTTTATTTTTCTTTAAGAAGGTTTTTAAAGAAACTTCCTGCAGATCCTAAGTACCAAAAGTAGAAGTCACAGGAGAGAAGGCACGCCTCTCCTGCTCTGTATACAGAACTAGGGCCAGGAAACATAGCTTGGAAAACATCATATTAGGTGGTTATTAGAAGTTGGGTACCACTGTCAGTAAACTTCTTAAATAGCATCACGTTTTCTTTCTTTCTTTTCTTTTTTTTTTCCTGGCCACACTGCTCAGAGGCTTGTGGAATCTTAGTTCCCTGATCAGGGATGGAACCCATGCCTCCTACAGTGGAGGCTTGAAGCCCTCACCATTGGACATCCAGGGAATGCCTCATTTCTATTCTTAACTACATATATCAGCTTGTTTAAATGCCTGAAGGTCTCATTGTTGTGTCAGCTTGTCAGTGTGATTAAATGTGCCTGAAATTCAAACATGAGTAACTAAGAAATTCTATCAGCCAGTAAACAGTTTACCATTTGTCTCCACAGTGAAACTACAAACTGAACATGAATCCAAATTAATGTATCCTCTAAAATTATATCAGTACTTTGCATTTATTCACATGGAGCTAATGCCACAGGTAAAACCCATTAAGGAGGTACAAATCAGTGAAAAAAAAAATGACAATTCTGGCAGCATATGCTAAATTTCTACCTTGATGGCTACAACCTTTAGACTATCTGGTTCAAATCTAATTTCACAGAAGGGAAAACATAGGCTGGAGAGGTTGGTGCCTAAGCTTACAGATTCTGAGGCAATGACAGATGGCTTACTTAACAAAAATGACCATGAATAGATGAAGATTTCTGCATCTTAACCATCAGTCAGCAGTTGACCTAGACTAGCAGTGTCCACCAGAACTTCTGCAGTGATGGGAGTGCTCTGTATCTGCCTGTCCAGTACAGTAGCCCTTGGCAACAAGTGTCTTTTATGTACCTGAACTGTGGCAGTATGACCAAGGTACAGAATTTAAGTTTTTATTTAACTTAATTTCAATGTAAATAGCTAAATATAGCTGGTGGCTACCCTACTGGACACTGCAAGTCTAGACCAAAAGTTCTGGTGGGTTTCACCTGGTAAGTTAAACCAACCACTGCAAAAGGAATAAAGACAGATGACAGTAGCTTGAAGAATGGGAAGGACTTACCATCTCCATCTTCTCCATAGGCCAGAAAAGGAGGAATGGTGATGATGCGTTTTTCTCCCACACACATCCCCAACAGCCCTTTATCCATTCCAGGAATCAGCCAGCCAATTCCCACATAGGTGTCATATGTTTTCATGCGATTGTGACTGAAAACCAATGAGAAAAGTGAGAAGTTCCATACCATGAGGGCATTTCTAACTCATCCTTCAAAAGGGTTTTGTTACCTCAAACTCAGCTGACCAATGGATTCATACCCATCCCTGGAGAAAAGGCAGGTATGCACCTTTGTTCCCAATCACAGAGCACTTGGGAACAAGTTCCTTTTCTGGTTTCTCCATGGCCATAAAAAGTGGATGAGACAGAAGGAACTAAGGGGCATTTCAATGATACTAATAAATATGGCAGGACTTACCTCGAATCAAACAGTGTCCCATCCAAGAATGTTCCATTGTAGTGGTATCTTACAAAATCAGATACCTGGATGGTCCGAGGGCAAGTGGGAGGCTTGAAGTAAGTGTGAATCTGAACCTGATCTTCCGAATTCCAAATATCCATCAGAAGTACATCAAAATGAAGCACTGAATCTGGGGGGATCACACCAGCTAGAAAATAAAGAGAGCTCACACTGAGAAGCTGCTGCCTTTCAAAGAAACACCAAGGATGCTGCCAAGGTGAATGGAAGCCAGAAGGGCTCAAGAGGTCATATACGATTCCAAAATGAGTGATGTTCCCTCCAAATGAAAAAAAAAATTTTTTTTGGCCATACCCTGCAGCTTGTAGGATCTCAGTCCCCCAACGAGGGATTTAACCCGGACCACAGCAGTCAAAGTCCAGTATTCTAACCACTAGGCCAGCAGAGAACTCCCTCCCAGTGAAACTTAAATAAAAGAGGAAAAACAAAAATTTCCTCTCAACAAGAATAACATTCGGTATACCTGTGTTAATAACACTTCTTTCATATCTAGAATAAATAAACTTAAGATGAAATTTCAGCCGTGTGTGAGTGTTTACCGCTTCTCATTTTCCACTACCTGAAGCTTCAAAAGACTCTCTATTCTGCCTGACTGAAGAGCCAGCAAATGTTCTGGTTGTTTTGGCAAATGTTTTCACAAGTACAGAACAAACACTTACAAACGCCGTCACTTCCATAGGCCAGCTTTGGAGGGATCTTCACAAACCGCCTCTCATTTACACACATCCCGACCAGAGCTTGATCCATCCCTGCTATCAGCTGTCCTTTTCCCACGAACACGTTGAAAGTGGAGTCTCTGTCGTAGCTGGAGACCCAAAGAGGAAGGAGAGAGAAAAACAGTATAAATAAGCCAACCTTAGTGAAGCCAACCTGTAAAAAAGTACCCATGGACACAGTGAGGTCCCTGCAAAACAACAAACCCACGTATTCTGATGCAGGCAATGTCTTCACTGGACAGTACTTGCAGGGTTGAGATTTTTAAATTACCTTGAATACTGCCAGCAAATCTAGTCAGTTAAGCATCGTCATAACTCTCTCTGGAAAAAAAAAAAATAGAGAGTAGGAAATGGCAACCCACTCCAGTATTCTTGCCTGAAAAATTACATGGATGGAGGAGTCGGATGAACTACAATCCAGGGGGGTCACAAAAGAGTTGGACATGACTTAGTGATTGCGCTTGCACACACACAATGTATATCATTTTTACTGCTGTGTAAAGCAAATAAAGATCATTCTCAAAATATTATGGCTTAAATAATATATATGTCAAGTTTGTTACAAAATAGCTTACCATTAAAAAAAGAATCGCTTACTCCATTTCTATGTGATTGGTACCTAAGAGCAACATCACAGATACTAATGTGCAAATTAATACTAACTTTCTTTTTCAAATTTATTTTTATTGAAGCAGAGTTGAATTACAATGCTGTGTTAATTACTTCCGTACACCAAAGTGACTCAGTTATACACACGTGTGCATGCTCAGTCGCTCGGTCATGTCCGACCCTTTGAGATTCCATGGACTACATCCTGTCAGGCTCCTGGAATTTTGCCTGTGGAATTTTCCAGGCAAGAATACTGGAGTAGGTTGCCATTTCCTACTGCAGAGGATCTTCCCGACCAAGGGATCGAATCCGCATCTTCTGTGTCTCCTGCAGTGGCAGGCAGATTCTTTACCACTGAGCTACCTGGGAAGCTCATATATATGTATATATGTATGTGGATATATATTCTTTTTCATATTTATTTTCCATTATGGTTTATCACAGGATAGTGAAGCTAGTTCCCTGTACTATACAGTAGGCCCTTGTTGTTTATCCATCCTATATATACACCAGTTTACATCTGCTAATTCCAAACTCCCACTCCTACCCTGTCCCACCCCCTCCCCCTTGGCAACCACCAGTCTATTTTCTAGATTCCTGATTTTGTTTCTGTTACTAATTTGCCTTTCTTTTCTTTTAAGTCACTAAATTAAACAAAGATGCAGTGTGGTGTAGCATGAAGGGCACTTGAACTCTCTTAACCCCAGTTTCTTCCACTGCAAAATGTGAGTGACAATAATAGCCATCACAGGATCTGTATAATACAGGAATGCGAAAGGGGCTCTGAAACCCCCAGGATTATACCAATATTACTATACATAATTATTGCAGGTGACAGAAAGTCTGAAGTAATCTTTAAGTCACTAATAAATGTGTTTTAAAGGCTAACTGGTGATGGCCTGAAGCAGGAAAATAAATAATGGAATCATGGCTACAATCCAAGTTCTCATCCTCTTTAATGCCAAACTTAGCAGCAACAAGGGGGTGCCAATAAGGAGACTTTACTAGGGGCTTTGGGGAATATAAAAAATTCCAAGGCATGGACTTTGCCTATAAGTACCTTATAAACTGACAGAGACACCCACAGGGTTTCAGACACTGTGTTTAAGAAAATAACTACAAAAAAAAGAAAAGAACTACAGAGCTTGGTTTGTAATAACAAAATGCTGGAAATAACTTAGAAGTCCAAGAGTATGGCACTGGTTGTATATAAGACAAAAACGTATAATAAATTCTCTATGGTCATTTAAAAATAAAAGATATCTGCTATAATTATATAATGTATAGCATTACAATACATAACTACAATTAATAAAATACTGTATAGTGAATATAGTTAATGGTGACTATAGCTAACAATACTGTATTGCATTATTAAAAGTTGCTAAGAAAGTAAAATCCGAAAAGTTATCATAAAAAAAATTTTATAACTATGCATGGTAATGGATATTAACTCTTAGTGTGGTGATCATTTTGCAATATATATGAATATAAAATCATTATATAAAACGAATATAATGCTACATGCTAATTATACATCAATGAAAAGTTTTTTAAGATTTTATTCATTGGCACAGAAGGACATACACGTGAAGAGAAAAGAGCAGGTTATAGAACCACATATAAAATAATCCCATTTTGAATTTACTTATATAGATGCATATGAAAAATCCACAAGGTGAAACATGAAAATACTATCTATAGTAATCTATGAGTACAAGATTTCAAGTGGCTTAATGTATCTTCTCTTTAATTCTCTCAATTTCAAAATGATCACAGAATACAGTCAGCCCTCTGTATCCTCAATTTTCATTTCATGGATTCAACCAACTAGAAATTGAAAATATTTTTTTTTCATTTCTGAAAGTTCCAAAAAGCAAAAACTTGAATTTGTTGAACACTGGCAACCATTTACATAGCATTTGCATTGTATTAGGTATTAGAAGTAATCTAGAGATGATTTAAAGTATATAGGAGTGCCTTGGTTACATGCAAATACTACACCATTTTATATAAAGGACTTGAGCATCTGAGGCTTTTGGTATCCAAAGGGGTCCTGGAACCTGACCCCCGCGGATACTGAGGGACAACTGTGCTTGTGTAATAAACCTTAAGAGCTGTTGGAATTCACCTCATTAGGATGTGCTGCCCTTCTTTGGTAAATTACTTCTACCTTTTTCTCATTTTCCCCAATGATCAGCTTGGGAGAGAAGCACAGTCCACCTCACCACCCATCAGGGCAGCTTTGTCAGATCTGTCCCCTCCTTCCCTTTCTCCTCCTAACTTTATAGTCCATTTTACTGCCTTCTTTTCTTCAAGGCCAGTGAACAGAAAGCAAATGTCCAAGTTCTGGCTAACAAGCCAGAGGACAAAAGCGCATGATCAGCTTTGTGCCCAAGTGACTCTACATCTCCACCCTCTATCTCCAGGGGAACAAAAAACCACCCTTGGAATGCCAGCTGTCCAATTTCACTTGGCTGGGATCTTGCCACACCCTGAGCCGTCATCAAACTGGAGGGTTTAGGTTAACAATGGACCAGAATTTAGGCTTCAAAAGCTTCCCAGGCACAGAACATGTGCAAACAGCAATAATGCACAGGCTGGAAACTTAATAGTTTTTATTCACAGAACCCAAAATTAATGAGAGTTTTTAATAATACTACTATTTAGAGAGTATTTATTATGTGTCAGGCACAGGGGCAACTAAGCTTTTCTATATGTGCTAAGTCGCTTCAGTTATGTCCAACTCTTTGTGACCCCACGGACTGTATAGGCTCCTCTGTTCATGGGATTCTCCAGGCAAGAACACTGGAGTGGGTTGCGCCTTCTCCAGGGGATCTTCCCGACCCAGGGATTGAACCAGCAGCTCTTATGTCTTCTGCATTGGCAGGGCAATTCTTTATCACTAGTGCCACCTGGGAAGCCCAAGCTTCTCTATACACTACCTCATTTAATCCTCATACAACACTTTAAGTATCAGTAAGTACTGATACTCAGGTCCCTTGAAGTTGAAAAAATTCCTCAAGTGCACAAAATTAGCCAAATGAGAAAAAAGTTAGAACCCAGGACTAAGTTTCACCCTCCAGGCACAGAGCCTCCCTAGATGGTGTATAAAAACTAGTGTGGCCTTATGGCATTAATTTATTCATTTAATGACAATCAAGAAGATCCCTGGAGAAGGAAATGGCAACCCACTCCAGTATTCTTGCTTGGAGAATACCATGGACAGATGAGTCTGGCAGGCTACAGTCCATGGGGTCCAAAAGAGTCAGACACGACTTAGTGACTAAACAACAACAGCCTAAGCAACATGCCCAAAACAAAAAACACCTTTCCAAAAGAAAATATATAATTTACATACATGAGAAACTAACAAACAATGCAAGGCCAGTTTTGTCTACTGCTGAAAACTCTGACCATCTGGAAAAATAAATCGTTCTGAGCAAGTCTATGCTGATCTCTCCGACTAGCACAAATTCATGTGCAGGGTCCTGCCAGGAGTTGGTCATGAAAATTATTTCTGCGACCGATGGAATTAGCACTTATTCAGCGTATCCCAGTGTCTGGCTGTTTTGCAGATGCCCCAGCCAAGGTCCTGCAGGAAACAGATGACATGCCTCAAGTAGACAACTCCAGGGCGCTGTGTGCAGGGCGCAGAGAAACATGAAGGGACAGTGCAACAGCTCTGGGGACAAGTAGGGAGTGCTGTCACACCCAGGCCTGAAGCATCCAGGTACAGACAGGGAGCTCAGAGCACCTGACAGAAGCTAAGCTAGGACCTTTGGTTTAGGAACACAGCCCATGTGATGACTGTACAGGCAGGAAGTCAGAGGAATAAATATCTCCACCTCACCCTCCCTACTCCCTCTGATCTCCTGAGGATGTCCCATTGGCTGAACCCAACTAGAAGCCAGACTACAAGGGGGTCACCGATATGACCCATATTATGCACACGTGGTCCATATAGGTCAACCTCCCAGAGCAAAAAGAAGTGGAATTGGGGGTAAGGGGACCTAGAAAGGCAAATGGAAATTATCCAGAATGGGACTTCCCTTCCCAGCAGGCGACGTGGACTCGATCCCTGATAGGGGAACTAAGACCCCACATGCTACAAGATGTGGCCAAAAAAAAAAAAAAAAGTGTGTGTTTTTTAATGGAAATTATCCAGCACATCCAACACCCCCTTTCCTCTTCACCAGCTTATTTTTTCTCCCCTGATCATTCATTCTCGTAGACCCTTAGATTGCTGACACTTCTACCTTCCTCTGCCCCCAGTGGGGATTGGGGTGGCTACAGCAGCCTCCGGTGATGCTCTTCAAGATAATTAGCCCAAGGACCACTAAGACAGAAGCCATCACCTAACACCCATCATCTTCAACTCACTCAGCTGCTGCACATATTGTCCTGTGCTTACTCCTCAGGACAGGTAACTACCTCCCTCTGTAGCTGCATTCTTAAAGATCCCACACTGGAGCTCTAT